GGTATTATAACACCTCGTTTTAAACACATTCCTCAATACACGTAAGAGATTGTTGAATGGGCCGTATGAAGAAATGAAAAAAAGAAAAATGTATTTTACTCCTCAGCAGTGCCCATTATAACTATGAAGTTCCCTAGGTAACATTCATTCATGATCAATGGCATTATGAATGAATGTTTACTTATCAACTTTCATACCCATAAAATGAAGAAAAGTGGAAGGTATTGTTATTAGCGAATATTTTAAGTAATCTTCTGATTTGAATGTATAATTTGCACGTAGGAAATGTGCTAGGACGTGATGAATGTGTTACGACAATTTATTTAACTATTATTCAACTTCAGTTTTCTGCTGGACTACTTATTTGCTATATTAATTAATTTATGTATATACTTTTATTTCTGAATCATATGTGCTATTTTCCTTTCCTCGGTCTCCATACACCCCTTGGTAAGCATAGACTCCATAACCCACAAAATATTTCTTTCGAATCTCTGTAGAGATGACTCTAGTACTTTCGTCAGCGTCCAGAACTCTGATGAATAGGTGAGAACGGGACAATTAGTATCTCAAGTAGAAACCGGTTTTAACGTTTGAAATTCCCAGTCCGCTGGTGTTCCTCAAGGTAGTATCCTAGGTCCTATCCTCTATACAGTTTATACAGCTGACATCCCTACCTGTCCCAACACTGTCATCACCACATATGCCGATGACACATGTATCCTATCAGTAAACAATGACCCAGCAATTGCATCCCAAATGCTTCAATCACACATCATAAATCTAGAAGAATGGTGTCAAAACTGGAGAATTAAAATAAACTCCAATAAATCCCACCAAATTACTTTTACCCTTCGTCGTAAACCAACGACTTCCTGTCCTACAGTTTCCTTTAACAATACTCCACATATCCCTGTTGAGTAAAATCTGATACCTAGGACTCCACCTGGACAAACGACTAACTTGGAATCCTCATACTAGACTGAAACGACAAGAAACCGCTCGACGTTTCCGATTACTTCAGCACTTACTAGACAAACGCTCTAAACTTCCCATTAATTACAAAAGACTCATATACTTGAATATAATAAGACCTATTTGGACTTACGGAGTTGAGCTATGGGGCTCCACTAAACCATCGAATTCCTCTCGCATCCAATCCTTACAATCCAAAATCCTTCGTAAAATCCTCAATGCTCCTTACTTTGTCACTAATAAAATTATCCATAAAGATCTTAATGTTCCTTATGTTTCAGATCTGGCCCAATCCAGATACCTATCCTTCCATAATGAACTTCAGAATCATCCCAACCCTCTCGTTTCTAACCTTGCTTCCTCTTCAATTCCTGATAACCCTCCGAGGGTCTGAAAAGAAGATGGCCCCGATGATCTCCTAATGTAGTCATATCATTAGAGTGCTACCGTTGGGTAGTTACTCAGCAAGTGTATTCATGTCATTATATCTATTATGTCCAAATTTACTTGATGTATTTATGTAATACAGTTGAAAATGTCATTAAGAAATAAAATAAAAAAAGTTTGAAATATCATTAATTTGATTTAATTATTCATCTGCGAAAATTCTGGTTTCTAGTCTAAGAATGATAAAAAAATCCTGCTTATCTACTCCAGACATCTCCAGGCTTAAAAGAGAACGGGACAAGAATGCAGGTCACTGAAGGGTGCCGCTGTATTGTGCAGAACATTCGAGTATCATCCGTCATAATTTCTAAGATACAGCTACTCACTGATTCAAATAAGAGTCGTTCATATCAATAGCTGCTAACATGTGGTGGTATAATAACTATATTTGAAAGAAATATATTTATTCTACATCAAAATATCACTTCCCAAGTTACATCAAGAATTTTTCCCTCTTCCTGACTCAGCCAGTCCAGCTTCCTTAAACACTACTAATTTATCATGCCTCTCTAATTTAAGTCACAGATTAAGGTGAAAGTGGGGTAATAGGATGCAGTACGACATTGTTTTGGCTTTGCCTATCTCCCCAGTACAGTACATTTTTTATCTTTCATGACAGAAAGGTTTTATTGGAAATTTCAAATTTCAATAATCATATAAAATACTGCATTTATTAATATATATTTTAATTCTTGTGGTTCTTTAACACTTAATAATACTAGTTATAAACTTTAGCATATCCTTTGTTCTAAAATGTCGTTGTTTTCATATTCAACGTTTCAGTCGATTAGATTATTTTTAAGGTGAACCTTTTATAATTTTTTTTTTACTTACTTTCTTTATTGAATATTAATACATTCTGCCACATTAAAGGGCAGTTCTATAATTAAAAATCGATTATTTTTTTTTTCATTTTATTTCTCCACATTCTTTATGTCCATTATTTAATATTATATCTTTTTTCCTTGTCTTCCAATCTCTCCTGTAGATCTGTAGGAGTATATTCACAATTTCATATAGTATACTACAACAATTGTTACCATATATTTACCACAGTTTAGGATCTTGTTACTTAGCTTATTCTGTTTATATTTTAATGTACTTACTATTTATAAATTTAATAAGTTTATTCACATTGTTTATAATTTTTTGTCTAAATATTATTTAACTTCCACAATTCTCTATATCTTTTTGTATCATTGTCCATTCTAGCCCTGAAGAAGACCTGCAAAGTCGGGTCGAAACGTTGGCTTTTAATAAAATAGTTTTGCCACTATTTAGTCTATTTATGACCGCCGCCCCGGACCATCTCCTTCCTTAATAATTAAAAATCATTCGAGCTAACTTGCCCAAGTTTTTTTTACTTCATTTGATACTTAATAATTAACCTATACTTTAATACGTAAGTAGTAATGGTAATAAAATAATGAGTTTATTTTATTTCAAACCAATTATTCTCTACTAAATAAGGATTTGTACATTTTTTTTTAGTATTTGACCTCTTTTATATTGATAAATTTTCAATAATTTTATTCGAAATCCATGATTAGTGTATTTTTTATCGTATTTATTTTTTCAGATATATTTTAAAATATTTGAACCTTTCGTTCCAATTTTCCCGACACCGTTTTCCTCATCGTTCTCAACCGCACCCAAGTAATTACCGTTCGCATAACATCTGTGGTTCTGTTTCCTGAGCTCCCTTTTACTCTCTGATAACTTTCCTTTAAAATTCAAGACAATAATTCAAACTATTCGTGTAATTATAATCGTATAACTTCGATAAAAAATTGGAGAGACTAGGCTGATCTATGGCTTCAACAACAGGTTTCATAATTTAATAATGGATAAGGGATTCATAATTGTATATGTTTTTCAAAATACTTTTATTTCTTTACTTCAATCAACTTTATTTTTAACTAAAGCATTGAAAATTGTTAATTTTTAAATATTATGTTTTCGAAAAAGAGTATTATTATATTTGAACAATATAATGTTTTTAATGATTATTTCAAATCTAGAAATACCATAAAAATATTTATTGGTTATAATCTTCTTAGATGGATTTGTTGCTATTGAATGTTAAATGTGATCAATCAATGTTAAATGGATTTGATTTTTAAAAATTAGGAAGTATAATTCAAACCCTAAAAGTTCCAATAAAAAATCAAGTTCATTGAAATACGTTTCCTGTATGTTTTAGAAAAGATAATTGAAATTACTGTTCAGATTCATCTTCGGAACCCCGTAATGATTATGAGTATGTAATGTAATGAGTACCCCGTAATGAGTATTACCAATTTAATATAGAAAGTACATCTCACTTCCAGGTGTGCGTTTCCTCCGCTAGGCCAATGGGGCATGAACCTTCCCTACTCCTCCAAAATATTTTGTTGCTCTCCTCTTCTTAAAAGCAGTGCAAGCGAAAATATAATGTAGAAGATCGTATATTATATATAATTAAACATCCTGTAGACTGTTCTTCACTTTGTCTTTTGGTTTGAATCTTTCGAATATTCATTATCACTCGAAATATGCCACTCTTAAAAATTCAAAGCCCCTTCAAAATGTGCCTCCCCTCAAAAATTTGTATGGCGTATCTTGCGCTGTGAAACACCGTTCTGGGCATCCCTCCTCACTTCACACTAAAACTCCTTACTTCAACCGGTCAAAATGTAATAACATATATGTAATATGAACCGTAATAGTTGAACGATTTACTAAGTTTCTCCAACAAATACTGTGGCAAATCAACCAGCCGATTTTCTTATCATGGAAAATCTACTAAACATGTTTGTGTTTGGAATTTTACGTATTTATTAAGTTTTGGTACTCATTGCAAGTCCCAAAATATGCTGTTTAGTTAACTTTATTTGTAAAAATATATACATTTTTTTATTAATCATCGGCTAATTTAAGTCATATATTTTCTACTTCGTAAATTTTTTTTACGTTTTTATATTCGAGCACCACTTTTGAAGTTTCTATTGGGGGTAGCCATATTCCTAGACTTCCATATATATTTGTAAGAATGACGATGTGGAGAAAAAAAGAGCACATTATTTTTTAAAAAAAAATATTACAGTGGCTATTAACAGAAACATATATCTTATTATTGTATTAAGACCACATCTCTCATTTTCTGCAATATCATAACTCAAAATTCCTCGTTTTTCTGGTGGTCTATTACAAGTCTTAATTATCTACTGTTTTAATTGATTTCATTGAAATGCTGCCAGTTACTATGCATTGTACTTCTCATTTTATTATTGTTGTTCTTCACATTGTTATTTAACTGTTACTGATTGCATAATATTCACACAGTTGTAAATCTCATTTCCCTCTCACTCCCCTTTAAAAAAAAAAAACTTATCAAAAATCGATATTGATGAGCCCGGTAAGCGCTTCAATCGTAGTGCGTTGCAGGACAAACTGTACGTCAATCAGGAAACCTTGATGAGACTACAGACCAATTTTTCGATTATTGCTTCGCATGAACAACGTGTGATGTGGTCCCTTTTAATCTTTATTTTATTTCCGTTAAATTCACATTTTTAATTTTGTATTTTTCCCTGTTCCAGGACGATGGGGGACCTGTTCCGGAGCGAGCACATGTCCCTGTGCCAACTCTTCATCCAACCGGAGGCGGCTTATGCATCAGTCTCTCTTTTGGGTGAAGCCGGCATCGTTCAATTCAGGGATGTAAGTCTGGCTTCCGATTCTTTTTTTTTCTTTAATTATTTTCTCATTGATAAATTATAGCTTTCATTTCTAAAATGATTATAGAATGGATCATTATGAGTTATATTATGGATGATAAATATTCAGGACGCAGTCATTATAATGTTTTTATTGGTGCCGACGTTTCAACCCAAACATGTGGGACATCATCAATGCATCTTTCAATCATCGAACACTGAAGGTATTCAAGTACTCGGTACTACAGGCTCGAAACACGCCCTGATGATGACCCACCCACATGTTTGGGTTGAAACGTCGGCACCAATAAAAAACGCTGCAAATTATTTCACAATGGTTTATTATTTCCAAACAACTATACATCTAAAGTAACATTACATTCCTAGTTACAAACAAAAATAAATAAAAGGTGATTTCAATTATCGGACTAAACTTTTCTTTTTAATCATTAGTAATATGCTAAAAAAAAATAATATTACTTCAGTAACATATTCAAAATTTAAAAACCAAACAAAGGATATAAGTAGAACATACATTTAGAGTAGAACATATTAAAAAACTGGAGACCATATCTTTGCTCCTAATTGTCCGATTTCAACGATTTTTTTTGTTTTTTAGGAAATTCCGTAAACTTTTACAAAACAATATACAATATCGACAAAAAAGTGTAAACTTAATAGATAAATTTAATGGGCGTCAAGGAACTGACTTTAGCGAAGTATCATTGAAATCGGTGCATTCGTTTAGGAGCTATAGTCTATAGCAACGCAGGTTTTTCGGCCGCCATTTTGAAAGTAAAAGGCGAATGGTAATGTAGATGAAAGAGGATCATCCTCGGCTGACCTTTTATTAGCTTTTATATCCAAATTTGAAAAAAATCGGTCCATTAGTTTCGGAGAAAATGCGCGGACGGCGGATGAACAAAAAAATTTGTATTCGTTTTTCAAATTCTAAGCATCCTGAAACGTGAAACCTCAAATTTTGAGAGGGGGTTAAGTTTTTGAATTTTTTTGGTCGATCACAATGGTTGATTATTGAAAATAATAAACCAACATTATAATGACTACGTCCTGAATATTTATCACCCATGATATGTAGAACATTCGACTAACTTCCTTCAATAATTCATTAATTATATTACTTTTTCTTATCTTCGAGTTCTTTTTCTTTGTCAATAGTTGAACATGGATATAAGCGCTTTCCAAAGGAAGTTCGTCAGCGAGGTGCGCCGTTGTGAAGAAATCGAAAGACGGCTGAGGTACATCGGCTCTGAAGTGAAGAAAGATGGAGTCGCAGTTCCCGAGCTCCAGAAGATGCCTGCTGCTCCTAACCCGAGGGAGTTAATTGATCTAGAGGTAACTTTATTTCTTCAATTAACAACCTTTTCTTTATCTAACAAGAAACAATTTTTATCATGTTTTTAGATTTTGATAAATCTTCTTTCAAATCATTTTAGAATGATTTAAACAAATTGATTTTAATGAGGAGTGCCCATCCTCCCTCCCTACCAATGGCGCAAAAACCTTTTCATTCCCCTTTCCAAGATATTTTATTTTTCTCCTGTTCTTAATAACAGTGCAAACCAAAGTAAAATTTAAAAGATCATAGATCATATACAATTACACTGGCTGCAGTCTGTTCCCTATTTTTCTCTTGTCTTCAGCTTGAAACTTTCCATTCCGAAAAATCATATCCCTGTCGAAATGTTCTCACCTCAAAAATTTGATAGTACGTCAAAATGTGTCCCTCTCAAAAATTTTGATGGCACAACTTGCGCCATGAAACCCCCTTTTGAGCAACCTGGGTTTTAATAACTTTTAATGAATCCTCACATCTCTTCCACCCTGACTTGGTTTAAGACAATAAATAAGTAAATTTTGGAAGAAGCAACGCAAGTCACGTCTACCATTTCTTCTCACAATTCTTTGTTCCTTATATTTGTTAATATTAATCCCTTTCGTTGAAGAGATTAAAATGATTTATCTCCGCTGATTTCTTCCATTCATGCACAAACTTTCATAGTATGGTAGTTACTTATTAGCAGAGAGGAAGTTTCCCTTGACATGAGCATCACAATAGGGGCACACGGGATTAATGTCCTTCCCTTGGTTTTTCAAAATGTTTCCTACCATATAGTAATAAAGGAGTTTATCTTTTTAGTACTATATTATCAGATAGGCTGACATTAGTCACTGCTAGCTTGACTAAGCACAAATCTGTTTGATACAATTTCTTTCTGAAGTTTTTGATATAGTTAGGTTTAGTGATACCATCCATATCATGATAGGTGTTTAAGGAGGAAGGTTTAGGGGAGTTTCTTCCCTACTCCCAACTCAGGGATAACACAAAAACATACCCATCCCAAATTATATACAATAATTGATGTACTAATTAATACTGGAAACTCTAAAATGTATTCAAAATTGAGTTTCCTTTTTTATAAATTGAATTCGGAAATTCTGCAGCAGGTGACCCCTCACTCCACCCATGCTCCATCATCAACGAAACAACCTGGGAGACATCAGAGACTGTTTTTGCTACCATATTAGGTCAATAATCCTACTGTTTTAGTATGGTGGGAACTGTAAACAGTAAAACAATTAAAAAAACTCGGCCAATGTTCACTTCATTTTTAATATGATGGTTACATGATTCATCTTCTGTACAGGCCCATATCGAGAGAACAGAAGGTGAAATCTTAGAAATGAGCCACAATGCAGTCAACTTGAAGTCCAACTTCATGGAACTAACTGAACTCAAGCATGTTCTTGAAAAAACTGATGCATTTTTTCAAGAGGTAAGTGAAATCCTGCTGTTATTTTATATATGTGTATTTTTATTTCTTTGTTACAATGATTTACAGATTGAAATAATATGTATGTATCATATATGTTTTTTATATGTAAATACATAATTTATGTAAATATATAATATACAGTTTTACAATCTAATTGTTGTGTTTCATAAGCAAGTTAAAGAATTTATTAAATACAGAGGCACTAAATGTTTTAAAGATTATTTCCTTAATTAAAAATAATACAAAATAATTAATGTTACTTAAATGGCTTTAATTGTTGACATGTTTATAGCTTAAGTAAATTTATTTAGTGAAAATATCTGCATACATTTATAAATAAAAGCTTGCCTTGTAAATTTATTGATATATAACACAACTTGTACATATAATGATTATTCACCATTCTTGTTTTGAGATTGACGTGGATGTCAGCTTTTTGGAAGTAAGTAAGTTGACATATAATGGTACTTAATAATTTATTTGTTTAAATATTTTTATATCTCTTTCATATGAAACACTTGATTGTCCAATCTATATATGGTTTTATTTATTTATTTTTTTATTTTAAGTTGCTCATTATTAATATTATCTAGCCTATTGATATCATTATTACAAATAGAATCGTAATAATTATAATTTATTATTAATAATATTGTTATACTTTATTGTTAGTATTATCATGATTTTTTTGTGTGTAGTTCAGTTGCTGTTATAATATTGGTTGGTTGGAACTTGCTAAGTATGAATAGTAGACAAAAATTGTTCTTCCATCCCATGATTTGTACCAATTTACTAACAATATTTAAATTAATATAAATTGGGGAATTTAAGATAACTTTGTGTCTTCTATGCATCCCTAACAATCCTAAAAACATAAGTTATGTCATATCACTGAGAATATCTAAATTTGTATGGTACATTTCAATTTTGAATTGGAAATAATTGATGTATTTAAAATTTTCATTTACCCTAAGCATTACTACAAAAATTTGATTAATTACTGTGAATAAGAGACAAAGGCAGTTGTATGAGTCATATAGTGTGATTATTGCTATTGCTATGCACTCGTGCTCAAATATATTTTTTAAATAATTGTATCTTTAGTGCTTTTAAGTTAGCCTATACTCAAGTTTCTTTATTTTATGTGCCATCCTTGTTTGATGCATCACAACAGTAGTTGTTTAATGTAGAATTGTTTAATATTTTTAAATTATTGAATGTTGCATTATTTAATAAAATTCAATTACTTATAATGGCAAACTATTATATGTATATTTAAAGTATTGTTTACTTTAAGAAGGCTTCAAGACATTTTCTACTATTTACTGAGTGTTAAAGAAGGGTGTAGGATGTAAAGATTAAATCTTCTATAATATTAAAGCATGTCACATTAATACCTCAAAAAACATAACAACAAAGAAGACTGATGATTTAAAAACATATTTCAAATGTACAGACTTTTACAGGTATTATTTTCAAAAGTATTTATTTAAGGAAACAGTCTAAAAATTGAAGGAGCACAAGAAGATCTACCATTCATTGACTTTTCATCCATCATAAAGGAGAAAGAAATGCCAGTTGCAAGTTTTCAAATCAAAATTCTGAATATTTTGATTATATGAGTACTTATTTAAATAACTGAACTTGTCTGTAATCAAACCTGTTCTTAATTTAAAATGTTCAGAAAAAAGTACAGTTTCTATGAGGCAGATTTTCAACAAAATTATTCTTTATATTTATTAAAATTGTATTCTCCATATCTGTACCCCGGGTATAAAGAAGAAACCATGTCATATTTTGATTTTGTTCAGGAGGTCAATGTTCTATAACTTTGAGCTAGTTAAAATTTGTTTTTTAGTTAATAAATTATTTAATAAATGTATGGACTTGATGTCCTTTACTCCCAGGACACAGATATAAAAATATTATTAAACTTAGTACAAATCTAGCTAAGCAAAATTTTAACTCTTTTTTTCCAGAATGAAAACAAAGTTTTTAAAGTTTGTAATGTGTCTAATTAATAGAATGGGGGTTCAGAAACATATCAGTACGTCAATAAAAAATAGAAAAGTAATTCTTTTTTTTTTTTTTTGAAAAATAGAAAAACTAAATTTAAATAATTTAAAAATGTTTAGATCATTACATTAGAAAACTACGACTTATGATAACAGCTCATTACACTTGTTGACGAACTTTCTTCTATGTTTTCACCACTTTCACAGCTGTTCATTGCAGGATTGTTGGTTTCATTGGTTTTTTAAGGAGGAACCAAGTGTTCAATGGCATATTGAAGGCAAACTTTGAAAACAATGAGTGGTAATTTGGAGGTATATATGACAGAACTTCCAGTATATTCTTTTTTTTTTTTTTTAATCTCTTTTACCTATGATCTGGATACAGAGGATAGTTAACAATATTGAGTATCAAGCCTTTTTTACAAAATCAATTAAATGTCAATTTCATGAAATATAATATCATGCTGCAATGTTTCTTCAGAGAAAATATATTATAAAATAATTTGAATGCCATTACTAAATGGCATACAATCACAATATATCATATTTTAAGCAACTTCAACAAAATATTGAACAAACACATATTTAAAATGTTTATATCAATTAGGATACACATAAAACTAGCTTTTCAAGATCAAACCATTTCTGTAAGAAATCAAATTAAAATTACTAAACATTTTAAAGATTAAAATCTACACACTTAAATTGGAAAAATGATGCCCAAACAGCAAAATTTTTCAAACTGTGTTAAATTAAATTCAACCACAATACCGAGAATTTTTGTAAATAAAAAAGTTGTAGGTTACGATGAGATGAATCTATTCTCGAAGTTTTAGTTGGTGGATGTTAATGATTTGATAAAACTACGGACTATTATATTTTCAAACTTGCAATAAAATTTGGTTTTGATTGTTCATTATTGCTTTATTTTTTAAAAGCTTTTACTAGAAATACTTAATTTATGAAAATATATTATTTATACTTCATATGTTAGTAACTAATATATATTGGACAATGGAGTGTTTATTCCATAATAATTTTACAGTTGTTTCTTAATTTTCTATACACTTTGAAGAAGTAATAATCATGGTTATTTCTTTTTTATTTTATTTTTCACTGTTTTGTAGAACCAAAATTCAATAGCATTAAGAGTAATACTTTTAATATTTGTTTTTTAAATTAAGTACATAGTTATTATTCATATATATTTATGCACTAGAGAATATTTCTGAAATATGATAAATAAAATATCTCTTCCATGTTTCTGTTATTACAAAATGTATTAGTTTATGTTTTTTGTCATGAAAATAAATGAATAAAATAAAAACTAGGTCAACAAAATATTTCTTAATGATTAACTTTATAAATATAGAATTGTCTATAACTAGAACTTTGAGTTTTACTAACAGATTAGATCTGAAAATAAGTTCCATTATTCAAACCTGTGTCAGGAAATATGTCTGTGAATATAATTCTAATTAAAATATAGTTTATCTATTTATAGCTATCTTACATATTTCAGAAATATGCTCATTTTTAGTTACCTTATTTTGTTTGAACCATCATCTTGTACCTACACATTTCCTATTTGCATTATAAAATCACCTTTTGAATGCTGGTAGTGATTCAATATTTATATATATATATATATATTTATAATGTTAAAATCATTTCGTTTCTAACATTATTTTAGTTTTGTTGAAATGAATTAGTATTATATGGTAAAAATATTAAAGATGTTTCAGTATGAAAAATAAGAGACTATAGTAATTGTTAAGGAAATGAAGTGATTTCAAATTTGTGGCACATTGTGTGTTGTCTCACCTGTTCACCCTTATTAACAACCACCAATGTCTTTTGTCCTCACCTTTTGCACTGTTGCGCTGGATGTGTTGGGGCAACGCACTTTGTGTCTCCTATGTTTACTCACTTTTGTTACACGTTTTGGCTCGTTATTGTTCTTGTTGTGTCGATTGGTTCTCTGTTTTCTCCAGAGTGTTTGTTTCCAACAGCAAGAAGGCGATAGTGTCAACCGTGCTCTTATAGGATCTGGAGATGACCCTGCTTCCCGAACTCAACTTGGGTAAGTGTCTTTCATATAATTTTTTTAAAATTATTTATTAGTAATATTTACTAAATTTGAAAATTTTTTTGTCATCCAAATTAATTAGTTCAGAATCTTTTGATAAATTTTCATTATTTATATTTAAAAATTATTCATTATTTAAAATTGTTCATTTTGGTTGATTATCATTTTAAAACGTTCTTAATATATGTAGTTGCTAGTGGTAATAATATTTACATATTTAACTATATCCAAAGGCCTCCTAATATCTGGTTCTTTGAAAGAATCTTAATCCTAATCCTGAGGACGGGATGGCCGAGCATGTAGGGGCATGGATATCCGAGTGCCAGATTCTGACTGTAATGGGTACGATTCTCTGTCGGTTACTTTTCACTTCTCGTCAGCCCCAGTAAATGGATCGTGACATTCTCACTCTGGTAAGTACGTGGCGGCAACCTCAAGGTAGCCGTCAGCAGTTGGCAAAAAGGATCACAATAGGGCTATGCGTGTGTAATACTTGAGTTGCCCTGCCCAGCAACTAGATAAACCAAAGTTTAATGATAAAATAATTATGAGTTCTAGTTGTGGTATTGGGAGAGTTTTTAACTCTGATATTAATCCCATCACCCCCTGGGTCGGGAAACCTCCTTCCCTCCCCAAAAAATATATGTATATATAAATTAATGATAATTAAACAGGAAAATTTATTAATATCTTCCATATTAACATTAAAACTATTTAAATCTTTCAAATATTGCTTTAGTAAATAATTTCTTTTTATATTGTTTTGTTTTTACAGAAACATATTTTATATTTCATTAATTTTTATTGAATTTTTTTTTTTATGACGTAGAAAAAATTATTTAACAGCAATTTTCATGGCTCTTTTTATATTTATTATGATACATTCAATAGGGTGTTATTTCTTGATAAATTAATTGAGATGTTCAAGAGTTCAAGATGTTAAACTTTTGAACAGCTATTTTATTGTAATTTAATAAACAAAAAGCTTTTAAATGTCTTTATATGTGAAAAATATTCTTTTTCAAGAAAAAAAAATTGGCTCATACAATGACTTTTTTTTTTTAAATTATCATTACATTGTATTGACTATTCGGTAAAAAATATTCAATTACTACACTCAAAGCTTTATATCTAAATTGTTTATCTCATGTTTTATTATAATTATTCATTAATAATTAATTATAGTTAAATTAATAAAAAATCTTATTAGGATTACCAAATGGGACAAAAGCCTCTCCTGTCAAAATAATATTATTATAAAGAATTCCTCAATTCCCCATAACTACTGATAATGTTTATATACCTGGACTTATTAGTTGAAAAATAGGCTCATTTCTTTTTTATTTTGAATTTCTTGAAAATGCTGGTTGTCCCCAACATAGTTTTCTCCTTTCCCCCCAATAAAGTCTCAATGTTTTTAAATTTTAGATTGTTGCCCCAGAAATTGATCCATGACAGGTAACATGGCTTTTGAAAAGCAAATCAAAGACATTAAGTTTTTCAAATACGAATAAAGAACTAATGTTTTACCAATTCAAACATATGGACAGAGGAAAAAAAAAACTGTTCTGTACTTGAAGAATACTTTACTATATACTAACATGAAGGACCCCTCGCCTTTTAGGCTATACAGGGATTTTCGGGGACCAGGGAGTGAGGGGGGAGGGAGGAGATTTAAAAGACCCTCAGGCACCGGGACGTGAACTCCTAATTTTATTGTCTCCATGTTCGCTTATCAGATTCCCAGGCAACGCGTGGTGTTGTGCACACACATTAGCCCCTTCGGCCATCCTGCCCTCCTTTAGTTCTGTATTCTGTAAGAAAGTACTATTTCAAGGCCAACAGTTGTACAAGGAGGTGGTTTAGCCAGGATTATGCTCTAGTGCCACGAGTGTCTTCTGCCCCAGGGTCGATCCATTGTTGACTTAAAAGAATAAATAATTCCCTACCAACGATGGACCAGGACTAGAGAGATGAGGTTACAGGACCTTGCTCATTAGGCTACCTCACTCTTTGAAAATGAGTGAACAGAAAATATGATTAAAAAAAAAAAATACAGTCAAAAGGCGCAGTATATCTCACATCTACTGCACAAAAAAGATCCACCAAATAGAATAGGTAGCCGAGCTCAGTGTACTGGGATGTGCTCTCTTATTTCTTTCTTTTTTTGTTCTTGATGAAAATTTTTTCCTCTATCCTGATGATGCCTCAATTATAAAACACTGACTGCTTAGTTATTTACTGGTATTTGAGAGATTTAAGATTTTATTTTTTAAATCTTTCAATGTATTGAAAATAATTCTTTATTCTTTTTTTATACTTATAAATCTTTTTTACTAGACGTGTAAATACATATGTGCAATATTGTGAATAATTTCTTGGTAGGTTTGTTGCCGGAGTTGTACCACGTGAAAGAGTATTTGCATTCGAAAGAATGTTATGGAGAATCTCAAGAGGGAATGTGCTCTTGAGACGTGCTGATATTGAAGAACCTTTAAATGACCCAGCTACAGTGAGTATTTTCAGTTTCTGTTATAGTTTAATATATATTCATAAATATTGTTTATATAGTTTATAGATATCATATTTAGTTAATACATGTAAACATTTATAAATTTTAGCTATTTAATTATATATACGCGGTACAATGTTTTAGAAACATTACCTAGGCAATACAGTTTAAAATCTTTGATAAAAAAAAAAAAAAAATAGACAAATTATCATATATCACATAACTATCAAATTGTATATGTTAACATTTTGTTTATCTCAGAGGGATTTATATAAGTCATAATGATATTTTCATTTTACAGGGAAATTTATTGCAGAAGACAGTATTTGTAGCTTTCTACCAGGGAGAGGAGCTGAAAGCAAGGGTGAAAAAAGTATGTACAGGATTCCATGCTACTCTTTATCCTTCTCCTGCCACTTCTCAAGGGAGATTAAACATGGTCCAGGAAGTCAAAACAAGGCTAGAAGATTTAACTTTAGTAAGAAACATACTTTTTTCCAGCTTATAAAGTATTTTTGATATTGTTATTATCATTACTAATGTTTTTTTACTTTAAAGGTGTTAAATCAAACAGCTGATCACAGACAAAGGGTTCTTTTAACTGTGGCAAAAGAGCTTCCTACATGGACTGTAATGGTTAGGAAAATGAAGGCTATATACCATACCATGAACTGTTTCAATATGGATGTAACAAAGAAATGTCTGATTGGCGAATGTTGGGTTGCTAGTCATGACTTAAATCTTATTCATCAAGCACTCGCAGACGGAGGGGTTTGTAATTTTTACTATATGTTTTTCGTGAAATCGGACTAAGTGATTGAACAGTAAATAGATTAGTATTAATTAAAAGTGTAAGCTTCTTCGATAAACTTTTTTAGTATTACTATTTAATTACCTTTATATTTATGAAATAAATCTAAGACTGTTTTTAAATTTATTAGTTTGTATGAGTTATGAATTCTAAGATTGATAATTAAATTCAGCATTTACTCAAAATGTATTTATATTTTAGCAAACAAATGTTTATTTTTCATAAATTTTAAAAAGTCTCATTATTAGTCATAAAAATGTGTGCAATTAATGGGATTCCACATACCACAATTTTCATCTTCAAAACTTTATATGTATATATATATGAAATAAAATAATAAAGGGTAGAAATAAAAGGTATTTCTGTTTAATATGTATAATTAACAAATAATTTTTATGACATGATAGATTTCATGTTATTTTAACAATCACTTAATACCTTCATTATTTTTAAAATGATAAAACAACTATTTAGAAAATTAAATGATTTTACAGAAAGCTGTTGGAAGTACAATACCTTCATTTCTGAATGTTATAAAAACTAGTGAAGAACCTCCTACTTATAATCGAACAAACAATTTCACCCAGGGCTTCCAAAACTTGATTGATGCTTATGGCATTGCATCATACGGTGAAGTTAATCCAGGTATGAATATCCTCGTCTTTTGATATTTGATTTTTAAATATCAATATTTGATTGAAAAATAGTTAAATATATACTTTGTAAATTAAAAAAATATATATTAATTTTAATAATATATGAAATTTTCAGCTTTATACACAATTATTACCTTCCCATTCCTTTTTGCTGTAATGTTCGGAGACTTAGGGCATGGCTTTATTTTAACCGTTTTTGCTGCTTGGATGGTGATTTGTGAAAAAAAACTAATGAAAAAGAAGTCAACAAATGAGGTAATGTTTTAATAATATAACTAATTTATGCCATCTATTCTAGTTTATAAAGTGAAATATTAACATCTTCAAAGTATTATGTCAATTTTTAAAATTATTAATTTTTAGATTTGGAACATATTTTTTGGAGGACGGTACATTATCCTATTGATGGGGCTGTTCTCAATGTACACAGGATTGGTCTACAATGATATATTTTCAAAATCAATCAATATATTTGGATCAAGTTGGAGACAAAACTACAATCGCTCAACCGTATTGAATAACACCATGCTTACTCTCGATCCATCAAGTGCTGATTATATAAAAAAACCATATCCATTTGGGATTGACCCCGTATGGCAGGTAATTAGTTAAAAGTGAAATTTTTTTGATATTACCTTCTTTTTTTTGTACATTTTCAATTCATTCAATTATGTTTACTTTACATTTCAGCTTGCCAGTAACAAAATTATGTTCTTGAATACCTACAAAATGAAGTTATCTATCATAATTGGTGTAATACATATGATTTTTGGAGTCTTCCTGAGTGTACCGAATCATCTGTAAGGTGCTCTCTTTTATATATTGTCATGTCAGGATTTAAATCTTTAATAACTATTAAATATATATTTATAGAAATTATTTCTCTATTTGAATGACAATCATTTGAAAGAGAGTGTGCGTTCAAATAGGGTAAATTATAAAATACAGTTGAAAGGTAATTTAAAATTTAATGAGAATACAAAATTTAAATTTCTCTTAAAATCTTTTGTTGAGCTTTCATTTTGAAAAGTCAGAGGGATCAAAACATAATTGAAGTATTATTGAATATTATTTCAAATAATCCGCAAATAAAAAAATATGTTCTACCATTCTTACTTCCATTTAATTGGCATTCAATCCCCTTAACTGCTTAGTTGTTAATAAAACTCAAGAGTTGTTTAACAATCAGTGAAGAGGCCGTTTGGTTCCAATAAGCCAATCTCTGTTTTGCCAAATCTAGAGGTTTCTTTCCTGTCATAATGGGAGTGAGAATATAAAAATAGATTTTATATAAATAAAAATAATAATGATAAAAAGTGAACCTGCTCAACGAATGATATCCGAGCAGCTATTTAATTACTGAAGTATCTGTAACAAAAATAAGGCATTAAAGAATTTTGTATTTTCTATAATTTTTCTCTTCATTACTACAAAAGTGGTTGTAATTTTAAATTTATTTTTAAAAGAATTCTTAAATTTAAAGTTATTTCTTTCTTGATATTATACTTCTTTCTAAAATAAATGAATCATAAATTTATATGCAATGATATTTTTTACTATTGTCTTTTGTTATTTATTTATAAATGATCTTATAAAAGCTGTCTCTTAATACTAAATTAAAATTAATTTTAAATCCTTTGAAAGGCACTTAAAAAATTTTATACATTTACATTTATCGTAATTGCAAGTTTTTTTTGTTTACGAAACTTTTAGTTCTAGTTTGATTATAGCTCCACTTTTAATACATTTTTTTTCCTTTCTAAATTTTTTTTCAGGCACAAAGGAGAAGGAATCTACATTCTTTTGGAATTTTTGCCACAGTTAGTCTTCCTGTTGGCTTTGTTTTTTTACTTAGTGTTGTTGATGTTTTTGAAGTTCTTTCTATACTCTGGAGAAAATGATCAAACGAGTAAGCATAAATAGAAATTTAGGTATTGTTATGTAGTAATTCAATAAAATGGTGCAATGCTTAGTGAACATAAAAACTGAATCATTTATTGATAATAAGAAATGCATTAATAGATAATAATAAACCAGCGTGCAACACACCTGTTACTTAATACAATATAATATATATGAAAATCCTCTGCACATATTTATAATTATGAAGAGAAAAGAATACAAAAATACTTTTAATAAACATACAACAAACATCATATACATTGCCTCAAAAAAGTTTTCATACAGTTATTTTTTCTTTAACATAGCTAATAATCTATTTATTATATTATTTTTATTAATCAGGAAGGGTAGTAGAGGCAAAGGTGTATAGACATGATAACAAGTTCATGCTAGATCACTAATCCCATAACATGAAGAGATACAACTTTAATCTGAAGGTCAAAAAAGTTTCCATACATCTATAATGTCTTAATTATATCTCTATTCAATGCCATTATTTTGTTCAAATTTGTTATCTGAACACTACATTAGTAGTGGTTTCGTTAATATTCAGTCTACTTCAAATTATCATTATGTGTTTAGAGCAGTGCATTCGTGACCGAATTGTGTGGTTGAGAAGTCAAGGATTTTCTCTCCGAAAAATTGTAATTTTACTAAATAAATCCCATGTACCTTTGCTGTACATGTTAAACAGACAGGGTGAATTAAAATCATTGGAGAACAGGCCTCGTTCAGGCCGCCAAAAAAATTGGATAGAATTCATAGGAGGACTATTCTAAACCAGATTGGAAAGACCGGAAAAATTGGATTGTGGTACTTGCAGAATCATATTTTGTGGTTGGAAAAGTACTTGCGACAGTCTCTATGTAATTGATGAATTTTCCATCTGTGAAATCAAAACATTATGCACTTATTGTAACTATTTACATATAATAGTGTTTGTGTTAATTTTATGAACATAGTAAGTTTTCGGGTGTATAAATATGATTGAAATTTACAAGTATGCACTTAAAATTTTGGCTCCATTAAAACTGTACATGGTGACTTTGCAGTATCCTGGCGATATAGATATTTGTTGCAAAAGACTTTAGAGCATAGAGGATATAAATATATTATTTTTTATTAATATATCAATTTTCTTTTTCCTTCCCTTTTTATTCTTTTTTTTGTTTTTAGATCCCTTGCATGGCATTCACTGCGCTCCCCAAATTCTAATTATGTTCATTAACATGGTGTTAGTGAAACCTCCAACTGTACCTGGAGCTGATGATAATAATGGCGGGGATAAATCCAACAATACTTTAGTTTGTGACCCATTTATGTATAGTGGACAAGTGAGTAAAACAATTTTCATTTCATTTTAAAATCTGTGTACTTATATCTTAATTAATTACTTTATTTATGGTTCATTATTTCTTCTAATTTATGCTTCTTTCATTTTATTTATTCATAATAATCTACTTTATAGGATGCTGTTCAAAAAACTCTAGTGGGAGTTGCATTATTTTGTATTCCATTTATGCTTTTTGCAAAACCTCTTTATCTTATATATTTCAAGAACAAAAAGCTTGATCATAAAGCGGTATGTATAAAATTTTATTGTATATTATCAATAAATAGGTAATAAAAATATGATAATCATAATAATGTTCATTTTATATTGAATCAAAACTCATACTAAAATATTTTTCTTCTATAACAATGTAATTTATTTATTTAATATTATGGTGCCATGTACCACAACATTAGGCTAGAGGCACCATTCCTTGTGACGTTTACAATTATTTAAACACTTTTATTTATTTTATAAATTGCATGATTTGGTTATTGAATTTATTATCTTTTTTTAACAATGTTCTTAAATCCTGTGAATTGATTTGAAGCCTTCTTCTGATGTCCTGGTGTAGTGCACAGTCGGTCAATGTGTGCTTCATAGTCAGTATAACAATGAAATTCACATTACAGTATCTTTTAAAAGTTCTATTTCTACATTAGTTTAGTAATAATAATAATTATAATGTTTATTTTATATTGAATCACAAATATTTTCAAATATCAATATCATAAACAAATATAAAATATTTTTCTTCTATAACAATGCAATATCACGTTATAGTACCTTGAAAAAATTTCATTTTGGTATTACATTTGAGTTTCAATTTATTTGATGTGGAAATAATAAACAGCGATTATTTATTAATTTCTCCATTTTAATTTAACATTTTTTTCAAATGTGCTATTCCTTAACGGTTCAAGAAGATGATAGAATATATATGTTAAATAAAATATTCTCTATATCCAAAAAGAATTTTTAAAAAATGATTTGTAAAAGCAAAACAGTTGCTTTTACCTTCCCATTTATTTTTTCATTCATAAGAACATTGGTTTTAATCTTAGAAGAAAGCTTATATGTCTGAATGACCCTAACAAATTTTGAACTTTTCAGAATTTAGTGTCTAATCCCATTAATTTTTCAGTAAATCAGGATATTTGTTTACCAAATATCTATATTTATTTATCTGAAAAATTCACTTTATATTTATTTAAAAAACTACTTTATTCCTAGAGAAGCTTTCTGACCTGCACCATATTCATTTCTATAATACAACACATTTCAATCAATAATTTTAACAATTAACAGTGCATGATGTTAAATACTTTTTTTAAAAAATTGTCATGCAATTATTTCCGTTCTCACACCGTACCTTATTCTCTTATTTTTCAATTTAAAAACATAGTAAATAGTAACAGTGTTTGTTCTTCGTCTCATATTTTGTTTAAATTTTTTTTTTAAATTACGGAAAAAAAAACAAATTGGAAATGAGTAATTTTTGTTTGCTAAATTGGTGCGCAATGTAGATCGTGCTGTCAGTAAGAAATTGTTCAGGATTCAATCAGTAAAATGATGTTGGACATGAGGAGCCCTCTACTCTGAATAAGTCGATAGATAAAATTTATTTTATTTCAATTTACTTAATTAACAACTAATTTTAACTTAAAAAAAAAATAGACAAAATATGAGTTAAGAACAAACACTGTTTTAATCTACTATGGTTTTCAAGAGAAAAATAAGAGAATAAGGTGCCGCATGAGAATGAAAATAATGACAATTTTTTTAAAAAAAGTATGTAACATCATGTACTGTTAATTGTTAAAATTATTTATTGAAATGTGTTATATTATAGAAATGAATATGGTGTAGGTCGCCGAAAGCTTCTCTAGGAATAAAGTAATTTTTTAAATAAATATAGAGACTGCCATTGGTAAACAAATATCCTGATCTACTAAAATATATAAAACAGTCTAAAATTACCTGATTAATTTTTCATTCAATATGTCTATCCAATGACTACATATTAAACTTTGATAACATTCATTTCATTACAAGCCTAAAAATTTTAATGAAAATGAACTATTTATCATAAAATAAAAATGTTGAGTACATTATCAAGTCAACCAAATTAATCGGAGTTCAGGATTAAGGTCAGAAATTATCATTAGAATAAGGAATTGTTTTTATAGAAGAATTGTGTTTTCATTTGTTTGATACGTGATTTGATTTTATCTCATTGCATACAGGGTTCAAATGGTGATGTTGGCAGCGAAATGCAAGTATTAAATGGAGCTGCTGCTGGTGCATTTGATGAAGGTTCAGGAGAAGAGCACGAGGAGGAACCTGCCAGTGAGCTCTTCATTCACCAGGTTATTCACACGATAGAGTACGTGCTCAGTACGGTTTCACATACCGCATCATATCTCAGGTTGTGGGCCTTGTCTTTGGCCCATTCTCGTAAGTATAAATAGATTTTTTCACATGTTTTGATTAGAATATTTTTATTTTTTATAAGATAATCTAAACCAATTTTGTTAAAAATAAGAATTTTTTTTAGAATTGGATACTCGCTAGTCCTTTTGAAAATCCAAGTATAATAAAATGATTATGTAAATTAGTTGATTTTCAATGAAATAGGAAGAAAAACAATATAATACTTTTACAAAGGCAGTGTGTAAATTTTTTTTTTAACTGGAATTGAAAAGAAAAATATCTGTATTTCGGAGGATTCCAATAGCCTCATTAGTATAAGTTTAAATAACAGTTTAATAAAATTTTAGATACAAATATAACAGCTGCCATTCTCCTCCTACTTATCAATGGGCTGAATCATTAATAAAAGAATCTTATTAAGAGATAATTCAAATGTTTTTAAAACAGTAGAATCAACAATATTTCTAGAAATGACATAAGTTTATGAAATAAATCTTTCTGTTAGCTATATTAATGGTGCCAAGAATGAAGTGTAATAATGATCTTGGAATCTCATTCCTTCTAATGTAGTCTGATTCTAACTAGAACAATCACAGAATAAAGCATGTAAATCATTGAATATTATCCTTGTGGATTCTAGTAGGGCCAATCAACAATTGATAAAATAGTTTTCCTCTGCTGAATATGAGGGGAAAAAATTTGAATAATCAAGAAGTTTAACAGTTTTACATAGATAAAAAAAAGGATTATAATTCCGTTAATCACTAGAAATCAAACAGTATTTTTATTTAATAGAGAATAACAAAGAAATCATTGAATATTAAATAGTGAAAATAGTGACTTCACTCTAACTTTCACTCTACAGAATGGGTGGGGCAAGCAGCTGGTAAATATTACTGTTTGCTAATGTGTGTGAGTTTCTGCAAATTAGATTATAAAAGGTGTTTCAGGGTTAAGTGGCCAAACTGAAAAAATGAACTAAGGACATCAAAACAAGAAAAAACTTTCCTCTGAATGTATGTCCACAAATGCTTTGCTTAGGAGATATTCGCACTTAAAGATTTTCGTTGTTATGAATTATTTACGTTATATGAAATAAATAAAACATATTTATTTGTTCTAGCTACTTTATTAATTAAATGCAAATATTAACATTTGTTCAACTTGCATAGACTTTTTGTTTAATGTCACCGCAAACAAAAAAATCCAGTGTTGTCAGGTGCAGAGAGCGCGCAGGCCAATCCATTAATACTGGACATGTGTTATTGTTTCACAATATTCAATTATCCTTCTTCGTAAGGAATTAAGGTCATTGACTGGACTTGCTCAATCATATTCCATATCCCAATCAATGGATTGGCCTGCGCACTCTCCGGACCTGACACCACTGGATTTTTTTGTTTGTGTGACATTAAACAAAAAGTCTATGCAAGTTGAACAAATGTTAATGTTTACATTTAATTAATAAAGTAGTTAGAACAAATAAATATGTTTTATTTATTTCATATAACATGAATAATCCATAATAATGGTAATCTTTAGGTGTGACTATCACCTAAAAAAAGCATTTGTGCCGACATACTTCAGAGAAAATTTTTTTCTTGTTTTGAGGTCCTTAGTTCATTTTTGCAGTTTAGCTGCTTATCCTGAAACACCCTGTAGAATGATAGATGCTTCTGATAAACAAACATAGTTTAAACACTTAGTATTTATGGTGTATTTTGAAATATAGTCTATACTATACTGTAAAATTTTAATTAATTATTTATTTATCAATTTGATTGTTCATTGTTTCAGAACTTTCTGATGTATTATGGAACCGAGTACTCACTCTCGGTTTTGGGTATGGTGACTATTTTGGTGGAGTTGTCTTGTATATTATATTTGCTGTATGGGCATTTTTCACTATAGCCATCCTTGTACTGATGGAAGGACTCTCCGCATTTCTTCATACTCTTAGGCTTCATTGGTAATATTTTGATACATGAAATCATACTATAATCAATGTGAACCAGTTATGTGATCAGTATTATCTCATCAATAATAATGGGTTTATAGTATAAGGTCTATAGAACTTCAGTATATTTCTCAAATATTAAGGTTTACATGAGTCTTAATTCAAAATAAGATTACAATGTCTTTGTATAAATTTTAAATATTTTTCTTCTGTTCGGTAATTTAGTTTCTTAGCTGAATTTTTTTTAAACCCCACTACCTATTAATACTTCTAATTAATGTACATTCTTTGTCTTCTAAAAACCATTAAATATTTTTTATTTTATATTTTAAGTATATCAACAGTAAATATGGGCTTAATCCTTAAAAAATTAACAATGATTTTACTTTATTTTATTTTTTTGAATGGTTTATCTCGGTTTCCTCTGTTCTATAGCAAATAGGTGTAAATAGAAGCATGGAAATGGAAAAGGCTTTAAATGCCTTCAGCAAAAGTTTTTAGAATTCAAGTATTAATTTAACAATACTAAAAAAAAAAAATCCTCTGATCTTTACTTAAAACAATCAGAAATTAATATTTCCTTACTTAAATTTTAGGTGGTGGACTAAAAATGTCTTAAAACATTAAAATCTAACTCCGACCACTACCTTTCAATGACACATCTTACAGCCAAGAACTCCAGGCCCAGACTGAGCACAGGAGTAGCAAGGTTAAAAGTTTCAACTTGTTGAAGCTCGAAGACCCAATGGTTATGAGCCAGTAAATAGTTGAGCTTGACAAGGCAATACAATTAACACATCATGAATGGGATCAATAGACGATGAGGGGCAGGCCTGCTTCAAATCCTTGGATGAAACGGCTGATGTGATTCTTGGACCAGCTCAGAAGGAATGCCATTCCTCCTTGGTTTGATGACGAATGCGCAAATGCAACTGAATGAAAGAATGTGGCAGAGAAGAGATTTCATTGTAGGAAGAAAAGGCAGAAAGAGCATGAAGAACTGCAGAAAATAGAAGCATTGCACAGAAGGCTCAGAAAGCCTTTAACTGGCACCCAGACCTCTTGCCTGGACAAAGAAGGCAATATTCGTACTGATAAGTTGGAAGTCCCAGCAGAATGGAGATGACACATTGTAGACCTCCTGACTGACCCAAATGTCAACCCTAAAGCCGTTAACAGAGTCCTACCTAGTGTGAGAGATATAGAAGCTGATTTAGAGCCGCTCAATAAGGAGAAGTTGAGGAAGCTATGGATAGGCTGAAGAATCACCAGACTCCAGGGTGCGATGGTATCCCTGCTGAACTCTTGCTATATAGAGACAAAAAAGTGGTGAAGGTAATTCAAGACCTATGTCAGTGTGGGAGGATGAAGTAATACACTCAACATGGAGAAAATTGATGATCTGATCTACTTACAAGAAGAATAATCGCTTAGCATGTACTAATTACTGAGATATATCTTTACTGACTTCCAGATATAAAGTCCTCTCAAATGTCCTATTCACACGTCTCCTCCCATAAGCTGAAATAGCAGTTGATCTCTAGAATTGTGGATTTTGATGAGGAAATTCAACTGTTGACCAAATATTTAGACTGAGAACCATATTAGAGAGAGGATATGAATATAATCTGAAGAGACACCATCTCTTCATTGACTTTAATTAATGGTGATGAGCTCTATCTATCGATGGAGGAATTTAAAATCCCTTAGAAGCTCATAAAAATTGTGCGAGTTAGTGGGGATCTGTGAAGATCTTAGGAATTCTAAGCGATGAAGAACTTATGGCAAATTGATGCCCTCGCATTCCTCTTAGTCAATATTGCCCTGGAAAAGGCTGTGAGAGAATCGGGCATACAGATTGGACAGACAATATTCAGTCAGAGTACACTACTACTGGCTTATACAGATGATATCGGCATCATTGGGCACTCACAACAGACTGTCAAGGAAACTCAAGGAAACTTGAGCTCGAAGTGAACCAGACGAAAACCAATTACATGATGACTGATAAGAGGCCTGGATGCAAAAAGATAGTGATATTTGGGAACTACTGATTTGAGCAAGTCATCAAATTTATCTATTTAAGCTCTTTGGTAACACAGGACAATAGTGCAGAAACGGAAATTAGAAGGAAAATAATTTCTGCTAACCAGTGCTACTACAGCCTGAGGAAACAGCTTGGCATCCACATTCTCTTCAAACTCTATAAAACTAAATCACATTTACACAAAATCATAATCTGCCTAATGCTAATCTATGGCTCAAAAACTTGAACTATGACCAAGCCTAATGAATAGATCTTGTATTCGAGCGGGAAACCATTCAGAAAATATTTGGAGTGTTGGTGGATCAAATCTGGAGGAGACGCACGAACCAGGGGGTTTTCGGTTTATTTGAAGAGCTAAATGTCGTAGGATTGAAAAAACGTAATCTGTTAAACTGAGCTCTTTGCGGCAGGCGAGGCATGTGGCACACATGAGTGAAGAAGGGTTTCCCAGGAAGCTTTTGATGGAGCCTTTATTGAACAACAAGACCAGGAAGACCTAAGCATAGATGGGTAGATGAAGTTGCAGCAGACACTCGGAACATCCTTATAGTGCACAACCAGATGGTAGCTGCATGGAACCATGACGATGGGCAGAAGTTGCTGGACCCGTCAATAAGTTGTGCCAAGAAGAAAAACAAAAAAAAAAAGTGCATGGAAATACGAAATACTATAGGAATAGTTTAATTTTTTTTTTTTCGCTTTTAGTAAGGTTATCATTTTCAGGATTATGGCTATTGGGCTGATCTCTTTACGGTATACAGATATCAGTTAGAAAGAAGACTAACACAACTCAAAACCTAAATTTTGATTGATTATTATTTTTGTAATTGTATATATACATTTATAAATTCATATTAATATTTCGTACTTCTTTATAAAATAGCTGATATTTACTTTTTCCACTTTTGCCTAATCTTAATCAACAAGATGGCTTAAAAGATAAAATAAAAGATAATTATTGATTGTGTTTATTTTTGCACCATAATTTACTTTGTATTATAATTACTCAATTTAATTTTAATTTTTACAATTGGTTTTGTTCTCTTTTATTTTTATTAAATTAATTTTATCATGGCTGCTTTCTGTAACGAACTATAAAATAACTGTTTTGAATTATTTTTTCAGGGTGGAGTTTATGAGCAAATTTTATGTCGGTCTTGGACATTCTTTCCAACCCTTTTCATTTAAAAATATTATGGAAGAATCTGAAGAAACAGAATAAATAATAGAACTTAAAATCAAAGCTATAGCAGTAGACAATTTTAATTCTGCTTTAAAATAAAATTGTTTTTAGATTTATGAAAATTTGTATAATGCACAATAAAATAATTTAGTTATAGTAGTCTATTTTAAATGTAAAATTGTTTAAAAAGGCTGTACTATCCAAATTTGTGTGTAATTGTAAATATAGAAATAAATGTAGTTTTTCTTTAAATTTTCTGCAGTATTGAGTAAGAAAGCTTACGAATTGTTAATTAAAATCTCAAATAGACATCATGCTTTTATGCAATCATTGATGGATAGTGCAGGTATATATTTTTAAAGGGAACTGATTTTTCTTTTATTTATTGTTATGTTTTTTTAATTAGTACTTTGAAGGTAGAATTAAAAAAGAAATTCAAATGTGCCTTTTAATAGTTATTGTTGAAAATTTTGTAAGTTTAATGTAAATTATTATATAATTTGTTGTTTTATATTTCAGCAATATTTTTTCTAATTACCCATGTATCTTGAAAAAAATTTATATTATTATAATTTAGAGGTACTAAATTTAAAAAATGAAGGAAAATAAGAGAAAAATATCTATGAATGTTTAGAATTATAGTAAGATGAATAACATGTGTTCTTAAATATGTTTTTCTTTAAGATTTATTTATCATTTATCCATTAAGTTTAAGTTGTAAAAAATAGCTGTTATGAGGTTTCTAGAATAAACAGCTGGATCATCAAACCTTTGAAAAGTTGTTTGAACAGAAATGGTGTCAAGATAAGTCAAAGTTTTAAGAAGTAAAAAATAATGTTGACTTTTTAAAACTTTTTTAGAAGATTAGCTATTAATCAAATACATTTTTAATACACTATACCTACTTACAGTAAACTCTCTTATTACTTTGTTAAAGAAAAAACACATACAAAAACAACTTTTGAAAGTTAGAAATCTCTAACCAAGCACTTTCTGGAATACTTTGAATTTTAAAACAAGGAATCTCAACTTTTTTGGGTGTGTGGCTCCCTTTAAAAATTTAAGACAAAATATAAACTCAGCTAATGATGGTAATAGACATAATTTTAAATGTTTTACATTGATTTTGTTATAACATTTAAGGTATCTTTTTTCAATTCTACACAGCAGCATACTAAGTATTATGTTATAGTTTTGAAATTCCTTAAATGACTCTTTCCCAACTTATCTTCCACATCCTTCTCTGTTTTCAAAGCCCTCACACGTTGAGAAACCCTGATTTAAAGTAATATTTTAATATTTAATTTGTTCAAATTAAATTTTCTCTAACATCAATTAAATTATATTTGAGGTGTCTAATATTGAGCCTTCCCATAGTCTAGTTTTAAATTATACAATAAGATTTTATAATTTTATTTGTCTGACATATTGGTGAACTTGGCATTTTGAAAATATTTGACTTATAATGCAAGAATTTTTTTTTTCAAAGATTTTAATGTAGCTGATATTTACATAATTGTTAAAGAAAATTTATTAATTGTTTTGAATTTGAGATTCAAACTTTTTTTTTCTGTTGGCTTTACAGACCATGTTGACCTTTTGCCGCCTTAACAAGCCTGCTCCATCTCTGCCTGTCTTGGGCTATTTCTTTCCATTTATCTGCACGCAGCTCTATTGCATCTTTGTTGATTCTATCTATCCATCTGCTTTTTGGCCTTTCGTGTGGTCTTTTGCCTTCTATTGGGGCAGTCATTGTTACGTAGAGGCTTTCAGATGGATTGCTATGAGCTACATGAGTTTATATCATGGGGTATTGATTGACCAGTTTCTGTAAGCAGTTGTTTCGTCTCCATGTGTCAATACTCTGATCCCTGGTCGTTCTGGTTATAATATGGAGGATTTTCCTCTCAAATCTTCCAACACTTTTTTCTAGAGTTGTTATTATGAATTTAACGTAAAAAAATAATTATTAAAATCTAAAAAAAAAATAATCTTTGTTATGTATAATACTAACACACACAATAAAAAAAAAAAAATACTGGAAACTAGTAATGATTAAGATTTGAGAATTTTTTAAATTACATTTTGCATACTAACGATCTGAGTAACTTTTAAAAAAAAATGTTGACACATGTTGACAAGGATTCGTTCAGACAAATATTTTTTAATAAATTTTGATATGGACTGCATAATATTTTGCCACACTTATTCGGTGCCTAACTTAAATTTATTCGATGAAAAATAAATTTATAATGTTATTAGGTTTCAATATAAGGATACCTCATTTATTGAATTAATTCGTGAAATTTAAATTATATTAATATGGTCAGTATTTTTTTTATTAAAAGTATTTATTATTTAAAAGTAAATTGACTGCCATGTTAAAAATAGCCCACTTGATATCAAAGCTTGATTCACACTTTATATGGTTTCCACATCATAATAATAACACCATGGAATTGCATTGTCGTGTCTTAATGGTTGAATGTATTTTAAATTATTATTATAATTTTAGCAGGTAGTTTCATAACCTGCATAGAAGAATGTTAACGTTTCATAAGAAGAATTTTAAGATTAAAAAAAATTAATTTAAACTTTCTTGAAGGACTAAATGCTTTATAAAATGTTTTTTATTTTATAGTTTATTTTGATAAGGGGATATAAAACTGTTTAAGATATTCTGAAGTATTTATAAATAATAATTCAATAATCTTGGAACTTCCTTAACATCGGATAATGATTTCTGTGAATGGAAAATACATTTGCTGAAAATTGTTTCCAAAAAAGTTAAGGTTCTCTTTTGTTATTATCCTGAAAAAAATTGATTATTGTTTAACTAAAAATAAAATTGTCATATTAATGGTAGCTTATAAAGTATTTTAAATTATAACAGTCATCTCTGGACCTGAGATATTAATTAATTACAAAGAAATATGGACTAATTAAGATCCTAGTGTGAATCCAGCTTCATGATGACACAAGGCATGAGCTAAACTAAAAGTTAAGGTTTCATCACTAATGTTATCTGCTAATATGTGATAATAGCAAATTTGGTACGGGAGATAATGAATGAAATAATTTAGTAAGACTTTATTTCTGTAAGGTAATAGTATATTTTTTTGCAAAATGATTTTTTATAAAAGCTTGTTAATATGGGACCAATTAATTTAAAATTTTGTTTTATTATTACTGTATTGTTTTAAAATATTTCATATACCAAGCTGATTGTATTAGTAAAGCTGTAACTATTTATTGATAAAAATTATGTGATGTAAAATACATGGTGGAATCATAGTTGTTTTCCTATTCACCTTTTGTTTAAAGACTGCGACTTACACCCAGATCTTGAACCTGTTAATTGTTATATAAATGACTGAAATGTGTAAAAAGTATTTCATTTAACTTGCGGTAAATAGAGAAATAAAAAAAGAAATGTTTGGAACAAGATCAGGTAAATTTATAAACTTAATTCTCTGATCACAATTTAGGTGAATATTACTAATAACAGATATTTGCAATATTCTACTAAATTCCTTTTGGACCTGTCCATCTTAGCATTACAGTAACTCTCCAACCATTGAAGAAAAGCGTGTAAAAATCCGAGCATAATTTTAAAAAATTATATTTATAGGTAAAAATTACACATATATTGTAATAGTGAAAAATTTTCTGAAGTGCTAGAGCCTATTAAATACCTCTAAATTTTAGTTAGTAAAATTTCCAATTTTTTTTTTATTCATTTGTTTATTTGGAGTTAACATCCTTATATACTCCAAATAGGGAAATAAAAGCAGTTTTCACTTTTCATAATAAAATCTGTACGTAATTTCTATTTCACTTACAAAAGTTTATTTATTTATGTTTGAATTAAGACTATTCCATTCTAAGCTAAATAGAAAATAAGATGTTTTAATTTGTTATGACTACTGAAGTTTCAATTAAAATTCTTAGAAACAGTAGATAAAAACACTTCTCAAGCATTTTGGCTAAAATTTTAATAAGAAATTGGGTCATAATCATGTAACGTGGTACTGTGATGTTCAGGTTCTTGGAGGTTTTCAGGTTTTCTTCATCATCAAAGAAAAATATTTATGTTTATTGAAACTTTTTGGTTGGATGATGTAGGACATATCAAATGAGCAATTGTTTATATGAACTTTTTTGTAAATTTTGATCTCTTCTGTCAACCCTTTAAATACTTCCCTCTACTTACGGGACACCTTGAATATATGTATTGTAATGTAAACCTTTACTGGAAGTGAGTAAAAAGGGTTTAATAAATTAATGTTGAACAATTAAAAGGCAAGCTAATCTAATTCTACTAGTGAAGAGAAAAGAAAATGGCTGCTCTGTAGTTTCCCAAGAAGGAAAATCCCAAAGAGAAGAAGGACAAAGCTTTTTGTTTTGGCAAGTAGTTGTTCTGTGGCTGTAGTGAAGAGAGGATGGGAGAAGTGATCCTAGCTCCAATGGGAAAACCCCAGTAATAGTATTACCATCTTGAAAGTTGTTGTTTGGCAGAGAGACTAGTTATTTGGAAGTACAAGAGAGAGTATCTCCCAGGGAGCTTAAGTTGAATAGAAGAAAGTGTCACCATTCTGGAAGATGTGTTTGGCAGAACATAGGAAAATGTTAGAAGACAAATGAATTTAGTGCAACAAAGGAAGAAACAGTGCATATAGAAAAAAGGTTAGGTTGCCAATTCATACTTGACTTTAAAATCAGTGTTTAATTTTAGTATAAATTTGTAAATAATAACAGTTTGTCTGAGTTGATCTCATTGTCAGTAACCCACACCTGAGATAAATAAACTTGTTAATTCTCCTATAATTTTGTTTATTATTAAACAACCTCTTATTTATCTAGGAAGTATCCCAATGGTAAGAAATGAGCTACCGAGGTTATATTATTATTATTTGTCAAATATAAGAGAGATGTTACAATATATATATTGTAATATTAGTGTTGAACAGTTGAAGGGTAAGTTAGTCTGGTTCCGCTAATTCAGAGGGAGGCTCTGTAGTTTCCTCAGAAAAGAAAATCCCAAAGAAGAGGGAGAAAAACAAGCAGTTGGTGTTCTGCTGGTGGGCAGGGTGGCCCAGCTGGCTAACACATATACCCGGGTTGCCTGATATATAAGACACTGATAAAAAATAGTCACGACTTCGCCTCTTTAGGAGAATTCTTTTAAATCCCCGTCATCACCCCCTAGCCCGGGAAAATCTTGTACAGCCTTAAAGGCGAGGAAGGGGAGAAACCCTCCACAAAACAAAAAGGTGGTGTTTGGCTGGGGCGAAGAGAGAATGGGAGAAGGAATCCTGGCTTCAATGGGTAAAACCCAGTAACTTGATGTACTTTCCCACAGTACAGTCGAGGCTTCAGGCAAAGTGGGTTCTCCCGGACTACTGGATTTCCCAGTTCCTCACGGGGCATGGAGGATTTCGAGCTAAACTTCACGGTCTGGGCATTGATGTAGATCCTCTATGCCCAATCTGTAGTGTTCCGGAAACTGTAGAGCACGTGGTCACGACCTGCACCCCGTTTGAAACGTTAAGAGCAACAATGACAAGAGCCGTGGGAATCCCTCACTGAAAATGAGTTTCCTCAGTTAGTCAGTGAGGAAAATTTCCTGCGGTTTAAGGATTTCATAAATGGATGGAAGACTGCAGTGGGGCCCACTCACTTCCATATTGGTGCTCGCAGAAGAAGAGGACAAGCGCCAGGAAGACCTCCAGATTCTGAAAGCTAGGCCGAAAGAAGAAGGAAGAAGATAAAACAGAAGAACTATATATATGTGCATATCTAGTAGTAGTGTGTTATTAGGTATTCATGCCTAAAACATACTATTGCAAACACCCATATTGCCATTATGGCATGGGAAGGTGGAAATAAATAAATAAATAAAACCCAGTAATAGTATTACTAGTGTTGCCCAAAATCAGTTTGGTCTTGGTCTTACACTTTTGCAAGACCAAGGGCACAAATAATGTAGGAAGACCAAGACCAATACCAGACTCTGCAAGACTCTTTCAGGTCTTGCACTTAAGTCAAACTAAGACTATTTTCAAATATAGTACGGTGCTTAAACATTTTAACCGTCTAATCTAAACATCGTTGTTTTTTCTTGTGGGATTGTATATTTGGGCGTAGGTGGAGCTATAGACATTTTTTGTCAACTAATAAGATTGTCTAAAATTATTTTTAAGAAAACTAAATGTTAATGACGATATTTTTTTCTCGACACAGTCCTTACATTTCCATCACATATACGTACAAATATTTCACCTTAAAACTACTAATTTACATAATTACATAACGCTATTTATACAATGACTGTATATTGGGATTGTTGCCCATACAATATATGTACAATAAGTAAGTATAATTGGCAACTACTAGCTAGAGAAGCATAGAGCTGGTTTTGTTAAATTAGTATAGCTAAACCTAGCATGTATTTATGTTTTATACATCGATAAACCTAACTATAATCATCTCTTAGCATGTAGGTTATTACAATTACAAATAATTATGAGTATTTTCCTTATAAACTACTGTTATACATATTTACAAATAGTTTAATTGTTTCATTTTAAGTAATATTTGATGGCAATTCATTTCCAATTCTTAATAATAATATTAAAAATTATAATTATGAATAAATTAAAGGGATATAGTAGTTGTGACATGTAGTTGATTATTCTTTTCCTGTAAAGAATAACCTATTTATTGTTCTCTTTACCCAATGAATTACAACAACAGCTATGTTAATATACTATTATTATTCAAATTTAGATAAGCCTACTTAGATGTAATACGTGCAACAAGTCCCATAGTAAAAACAATTGAGCCCCATTAACTTTGATGATATTATTTATATACACAACACAAACTCAGTCACCCTAAGTATCATAGAACATGTCTTTATTAATTAAGGTTTCTTACCTTATTATATTCAACCAAATTATATTACCTATCCCACTTTAGGGATGTAAGGAGAAACATTGTCTACTCTTAAAATCAGGGTCACTATTCCCTAATGACTTCAAAATAAATTCACTTAGGATAATAAAAATAAATAAACAATTAATACAACATTCTGAAGGTGTTTTTTCCAGGGTTGCTCTTCTGTAACATTAAACTTACTACTATTGCGGTACTCGGCTATTATTTATCTAAGCGTTCAATAGCCTCTAATATTCATGATTTTAAAATTTATCTCTTATGGAAGGTCTATCTTCTTGGTTTAATTTCTTGCTTTTATATTTATTATTTCTTTTATCAAACTTAATATTAATTAGTTCATAGAACTAGATTTATCTTTATGATTCTAAAAACGTTAATTTTTTTTGTTATTTTTTCACTGATTTCTTTTATTATTTAAAATTCCGTATATATATATATATATATATCCATTGTCCGTTTTCTATTAATTTTTAAATGCCAAATATCAACCGGTAATTAAAATTGATTCCTTTTTCTTACTTTCTCCCTGAGGTAACTTCTCGGTTCCACAGGAATCGGTTTCATTTTTGAAAAGAAACATTTTAAATTTCTTTTTGTGGGTTAATGGTTGACTGTCGTGAATGAAATAGTGAAGAGAAGGATGGTTGGAGTGATCAGTCAGAAACAAGAAGGCAAAAATAAATAACAATATTTATTTTAACATTTGCCGACGTTTCGACCTGAAGTTCAGGCCTTCATCAGGACTGTTCGAAGAGATAGTTTGAATTGAATTCAAAATTTTGAAGTTGTTTTCATATCTTTTTATTAAAATTTTTGTTTAATAATATCTTGGATATTAACTTATATTTCCTCTTCCTTGACAAAGGTATGCATTTTAGAGCCAAAGCGTTATCAAAAAAATAAAAAAAACTTTTGTATCTTACTGACTACAACTCCCAATTAACTTCCCAACCATTTTTTTCACCTAGCTAATCACTTATTTATTAATTAACACTACATGAATTAAGAACCATTTACTAATTAAATTAACTAATCATTTATTAATTATTAAGTTAAAATTAAAAACCAATTAATGACTCTTTTAAGAACATAATAATTTTGTGTATTCTATAAAACAAAATTATGTTTTTTATTAAGGGTCAACAATACTTGTGTATCAAACTATTAAGCAAATACTCAGTATTGATCATATTTTTACCCATTGATTGGAAGCTTCCATTTAGTAAGTAAACATTTGCTTGTGTCAGGCCACTAATTGGAAAGTGAAATTACCAGAGCTAAAAGGGAGCATAATAGAATTGTGAACAACAATTTTATCATTTCTATTGAAAGTCATTCTAGAAGTATTTCTATTAATTTTCCTGTTAGCTGTTGAGGCAAATGATATGAGGCCCAGATCAATCTTCCAGGTGGGTGGTAATGTATGAAACATTACTTTTTTAAATAATTACTCATATTCAGGGATGTACCAAGAAAAGTTAGGGTTATTAGTGTCACATTTTTGAGAAGCTTAATGTTCTTTAGTTCACATAAAAGTAAAGCAACACTTAAAACTATACCTTAAGTTCAACAGTTAATTAATAAAGTGTAGCTTTCAATAAAGTTATACTACCCAGAATGCATTGCCTTTGCTGAGATCTACAGCACTGATGCTGAAGACGATCCTTCTTTTGTAGTCCATGTTTATTTTTATTACAAAGTTTCTTTCTCATCAGAGGTGCCCAAGGGATCTCAAGGCTACATTACTTTTATTTAAAAAAAAATCTTTTCAATAGATTTTTAACTTACTGCATATACTAGTAGATAGCAATATTTTACTGCAAAAAACCTGAATGATGTCATGAAATAAGTTGGGCCCATGCAATATCTCAAAAACAGTCGATTTTCGGGCCTTGAATGAAGGAAGAGTCTAACACGTTCCGTGGAAAGTTTCTGTCCAAGTTTAAGTTCTTTATGAAACATCTTAAAATCTGACTTGTTCTATTACGTTCTGCCAACATATTACCTTTGGAGAATTGATACCATTCTTATATTTTTAAATCACTTTTTTGATAGTTATATTAAATTATAAAGATCTGTATCGGGATTTGTAACTTCTCCATGAAGTTCCTTTTCTTTTGACACCTTAATTGTTGAGCTGTTCTTATTCTCCTTCGTATTTATTTTTTTTTATTTTTTTTTTTTTTAAATAGGGACAAATCTTATGAATCACAATATCACTTCTCATTGGGAATTAATTAGTTGAGAAATTCTATCATTGATCTTTACTCATATTTAACAAAAATTTAACTGAGATCTTCAATTTTATTATGCTTTTAAATTGGAAATATTCAATTATCATTATGTGTTGGGTTTCAGATGAATTAAAGTATTTTAAATGATTTAGCAAAAGTTGACAAAATTTTTAGTTTCAATAATTACTTCCCAACATACATTTATTATTTCTTTAATAATAGAATTACTTGGGGATGGGTTATCCATGGTGGAAAGACAATACATGAGTCAGTTATAGTGATCCAGCACTTTTTTCAAGAATCTCTTACAAAACAAAGACTGTTCATGATGGCAGTCGCTTCTCCTGTAAAAATGGAGCATTCACCAGGCAGTTTAAACAGTAGTTGATTCTCCTCATTTGTTACAGCACATCCTACATTGTTTCCTTCCTTTGATGCATCTGTGTGTATGAAATCAAAATTTGTATATTTTCAGTCAGTTTTAAAAACGATTATTGGATTTAAATCGGATACGTTCTTGATATTTTGGCCATAGATCTATTTATCGCTGGTCTGTATTTTTTCCAATAAGGTATTTTTAATTCTGGGATTGGTCTAATAATGTTTGTGTCCTTGTTTATTTAATAATGGTTTATAAATTTCCTGTTTAAATAAGTTATTTCTGATATCATTTAGCCCACATCTTTCGGATTGTTCTTTAAAAAAATATAATGTAAGAGGGTGGTCTAAAGATGATTTCAATTTAGCAACATATTTAAGATATAAATATTCTTGCCTCAAGTACAAGGTTCTCCAGATTCGGGGTAGATGCTGTCAATTAGAGAATTTTGGAATGCACCAGTACAGATTTGTAAGGGTGAGTTATGTACAGAATCCAATATCCTTAGCAATGTTTTACTGGCTGTTCCATAAATTTTCACTCCATAGTCGATTTTACTTCTTAACTAAATTTTGACATATTTTTAATAAAATCTGTCTATAGGTGTCCCAACTGGAGTGTGATATGTGTATGCATTTCATATTATATGTGTATGCATTTCATAGTATCCAGCTGTTATGAATAGCGGCTTATTTAACAGCTATGATTATCAGTAACTTTACACAATGGACAATGAACATTCAAGGCTAAGATATTTATTTCATTTATGACTTATGACATTTATTATTTATCATGTTTTATTTAAAACTTGATATAAAGCGAATCAGCTGTAGTTTTAGTTTTATCTTTCAAGTTAAATAATCAATTGCTTTAAAATGCCAATTAAAAACTGAAAGATTGTTTATTAGTAATCAATCTATGTCTAAGAATGTTGCTTCTTATAAGTTACATAAAAGTTGTGCATACATAGTGCATAAATTAGAAAAAAAAAAGAAATTCTTACTTGATGTAGAGATGGTTGACCGTTGATATGATATGAGAAGGAATTAGTCGAGGGTGCGGTCAAAAAAAATAAAAAAATTAAAATATATAAATAATTTTAATTTTTGCCGACGTTTCGACCCACTTTGCAGGTCGTCTTCAGGGCGTTGGATGTGGCACTGCGGGACTGTGGCACTGCCGCAGTGCCACATCCAACGCCCTGAAGACGACCTGCAAAGTGGGTCGAAACGTCGGCAAAAATTAAAATTATTTATATAGAAATTCTTACTTAATTACTACTTATGAATTCCATAAAAAATCTAAATATACCTATTGGTTACCAACATAAGAGAAAGCCTTTTAGAACACATGGGAATTCTCGTTATTCAAATAACAATAAAATTATGAATTAATGTACACGATTGAAAGAATCCATAACAAATCAAAATGTTTAGAAAAAAGTTTAGATGGTACATTTCATACAATTTGAGGATAATCTTCCAGTTTAAAGTCCACCCATACGGGTCTTCCTTAAGTTTTTGGCTTATGGTATTATGGTAAATTTCATCAATTATAAGTTTTATATCAATGAAGTATTTAATATATAATTTTTTTTCCAGGGTCGGACTGTAACTTCCCCTGTGAAAAGGAAAATATCCAGTCATAAAAACGCCCCAAATTCATTTTTAGAAAACGTTAGACCAATATTTCAGATGTTGAGAATATTTGGAAGATTCCCATATAGCATCTCAGAAAATGGTGTTTGTTTGGAAAAACCCAATACTTTTTTCTTTCATTTGGTCTTTGAAATATTTTCTTTCTATTTTAACCTTCTTAATTTGTTTATATCCATATATGTATGAGTGTTTGAGTCTTGAACATGGATATTTTAATCATTGGTAGACTTTAAATATCCTATTTGTATTTTAGTTTATTCAAATATTTTATGAAATATTCTCTCCTCCAATATTTCACAGACTTCTACTTAAAAATAGCTTTAAAAAAAGTACAATTAACTGTAAAAATAATAATTATTTATGGGTTCTTCACTGGGAAGAAAAGAAAGGGCTATGCCAGGGAGGCTGCTGATGTGAGGGAGGAGGGAAAGGACAAGGCTGAACTTAATGAAATAAGCTGTGTACACAGTTAAAAAAAATGTTTAAGTTGTTTCCAACAGAGTAGGGTTGTTCCACATTGCCTAAAAGGTAGAGCAGGGTAAGAAATAACTAAATAAATGGTAATAATTATTTTGTGTTGCAAATAATAACTTAATGACTGTATTCTAACCTTGGTCTCCCTCCCCCAATATTTCCTATTTGCTGGTAACTATGATGATTCTATCTTAACCCAGATTAATTGGATGACATTTAGAAGAAGAAAACCGATCCACAAAATAATCAAAAATGAGTGAGTGGTTTTAAATAGGATAAAAGTTCCTGCACACAGAACGCGATATGTCCCAGCGATTTGATATCCTTTTATTGGTATCGCCATGGATTATCGCACTCTGTGTGCAACTATCTGTTTTTGGTAAAAAATAGAATTTAATTTATTTAGAACTAAAAGAATAAGAATCAATAATTTTCTTTAATATTCAAATGACGAATTTTCGTCATTTGGCTATTGATTATTGTATGCAAAATGATGAATTTTTGTCTTGCTCTCAAATATGTGTTGAGATTGATAAAAATTAAATAAATTGATTTTATTTAGGAATATTTAAATAGAAGTCTAGTTATATATAATAAGGTTCCTGGGATTGATTTAATATAGATAAAATAAAATATCTAGGGAAGGAAGAGAGAAGGTTCATGCACCATCAATCTTGAGGAGGATGGGCACTCTTGAATTTAATTTGGTAACATTTTTAATCTAAAGAGTGAAAATGGATTAATAATGCTATGTGAATCTAAATAACAAAGCAATAATGTTGTATTTATATTTTCAGCCCACTATTAGTAATTATATTTAGTTTTTATGAAAAATAACAAATTAATAGAAGTGCCCAGATTTGATGTCCTTCATAGTATGAGGTCATAATTAAATATTATATTATCTACTATAACGTAGGTCAATCATTAAATCCACTAAATTTAACTCTCTGAAGTTGCTAATGATTAGATAATTTTTTGATGAATTAGCAGGGAGCAATAATATTATAATATTTTCAAAAATCTTGATAACGTACATTTAAGAAATGAAAACCAAAAATAATAAAATTTAAGAGCTTGATTTAATGAGTGATTGAGGAATCTGTTCTAAAAGGAATAAATTATTAAATACTTTATATGTGTTCATAGAACATATTATTGTGTTAAAAAAAAAAAAAAAAAAACTGGTGTCTTCTAATATTTATTTATGTATAAGTACTTTTTTTTTCAGAGATCCAACCATTTTCTAAGACTTCTCCAATTACAGTGTATTGCATTCTTCTATATTTTGTTTCTTTATATATGGTAAGCATAGGGCTGCAACCATTAACTCACAAATTAGCCACTTCCAAAAGCTACAAGGATTCCCTAATGACCTTCCTGGCGATATCGTATCTTATACATTATCCACTAATACCTCTGACTGATTGGTTGTTAGCTCCTACATTGATAAAGTACATCAATTTATGGCAGTTATATGAGGTGAAATATGTACATATAATAATTATTTTAAAATTTTTTAGTGATTATGCAGATTGTTAGGGTGTGGAAACCATGATTTTTCATTTGTGAAATACTTTTCTAAATTAAAATATCAACATCTCATTTTTTTCATAATCAAACCTCAACCTCAATCAACCTCTCATTAATCATAATCAATTTTTTCCGTCTAGAATTATTTCCTGAAATTTCACTTTAGGTAGTAATATAACAAAATAGATTACATCCATTCGTACACTGCCTATAAAAGGTGTCATCATACTTACAAAAGTAAAAAATAAAATTAGGAAACATTTATGAAATCATCAAAGGTTACAGAATCTTTCAGTTTTTACAAGTTTTTCTTTAAGTATAATCCATGGAAAAATACATTTTCGAGCTGTTGAAAACTGAATAATCCCCATCTCATGTGATAAACAAGGATTAACTTTCATTTACATAGAAGTTTCATTTATTTAATAATTGATTTATAATTTGGTAATATAGTAATAATTTAATTTATAGATTTTTTTTTAAATGGATTATAAAATAAAATTTTATTTTTCTACAAGAATTTGACACTGTAATGTTTTATCTGTATATTATAATTTTTAGAGTTTATATTATTTATAATTTATAGAAGTTATATTAAAATTATTTATTATAATTTTACCTTAATCGAATTAAGTCACAGCCCACATTGTTGCTACAACACAGAGAAATCTGAGCACTTTTTTTTTTTAATTTAGTGAAAATTTTAAATTTTCTCTATCCCAAGGAGACAGGCAAAATTCTTTTTTTCAACTTTACTATTTATGTATTTTTCAAACTGATAAAGTATGTTTTGATGATGTTAATTTACAGAAACATATTATTTTAGTTTTAAGAACACATTTACTTATTTATTTGTTTACTTATTACTTTTTTACAGAGCCAGTTCAAGAAAGAGTCCGTGAGTTTTCCTAGTAAATATTTGATCCCATTTCTGAGTTACTGCACCTGGCCGCTATCAATTTACTTTGTCTTTTATGGTGGATATGAAGTTTGTGGCAACAGTTTTTTTATTTGTATGATGTACTTTCCAATTTTATATGGCTTGTATCAGTATGGGCTGCTGTGGGCAGTTTGCCATTCACATTTAGTAAGGCAAATTAGAAAGTTGAAAGAAATAGTGATATCGGTAAGTAACAGGAAGCTGAGAGATGTTTTCCAGGAATTGAAATGGGTATTAATTTTTCTATAAAGAATATTTGTGTTTGAAATATAATTTATATTTTACAAAATAAAAATCAGATCATAATGGTTATTAATTATATCGATAATTCACATAAATTATTAAAATGATTAATTAAACTATAATTGTAAGTAAAATTTTTAGTTTACTTATTCAGAATCGCTAGAAAATAAATGTTCATTAGAGTATAGACTGTAAATGACGTTAGGGTTTCATAGGGCCAAAACTAAGAGTTTTTCGAGAAATGCCGAGCTGAATTTTGTTGCTCCTATCTTTCATTTCCCATCCCATTTCCAAAATAAAAGTCAGCAGTTTTGTAACGTTATTTTAGGAAATATATTTCAAAATTAATATCAAGATTCCTTAATTTAAACTAATTTTATTAACTGAATTAAGGTGGAAATATAAAATAGAAACAAAATTATTTTATTTAACCTAAAAATAAGTCTTGTTCGAAATTTGCTACCTGTCCTTCCTCTCCAGTTTTGGCCCCTGGCTTTAGTGTGGCGATATTATAATGTGCTTTATTGTTGTATTGAGTACTGTTCCCCCAAATTGAAGGATAACAGTGGATTCTCACTGCTCTATGCCAAAATACTCTTTATAGAGTACTAAATTACCCTTTTATCTTGATAAAGAACTATTTCAAGAAATTTAAAGTTTAACTTCAATAGACTCAAGTGAAATAAAATATATTTACTTTTTTACATGCTTATGAAACATTAGAGTCCAAAGATTGAGATACCAATGCAGGGCAGGAAGCAGGTTGGGAAAAGGGTCACTCGCTGTTGGTAGCTGAATTTCAACAGTGACAAATTTTGAGAATTTTTTTTAGATTAAGTAAAAAATATTTTTTTCTACTTTTCTGTTGCTTTGGACTTCATTCCCTCTATGATAAAAATTAATATTATCTGATGATGTTATTTATTTCAAAATGTATTACCTGACATTTTATGTTTCCTTTCTGGCAAATATCCTGATTCCCCGGCCCTGTGCCATAGTACTACAGGAGCAGTTAGAACATCTTTCACAGCAGCCATGGAGATAATGCTTAATCCCTTACAAAAAGAATCTAATAAAAAGTTAAGTATATTCCTTATGAAAGTTTACATGTTTCTTTACATGCCGGATCACTAGATAAATAAAAGAGAGGAATCATACAAAATGACACACATGAGTTGTGGGTAAGGAAGAGTTTCCCATCCATCAATATAATAATAACAAATGAACATATACATATTTTATCATGTATTAATCTAGACAACAATGGGGTTAATATAAAAATCGTCCAATAATGTTGAGAAATTAAATTATATTTTCTTTAACGAATACTTGACGGCTGACCGTGGTGTATTATTGAGTAAGGAGATGGTTAGGGGTGGCGGTCATGAAAAGACTAAAATAGTGAAAAAAATATTTTATTTCAAGCCAACGTTTCGAATCGACTTTGCAGGTCTTCTTCTAGGGGATGTTTGCAGCGAGGAGTTTCAGTTGAAACTGAATTTTCAACCAAATCAATCAAATTCTTTGAGTTTTAATTTTAAAAATCAACCCATGCTTATATTATTTTGTTTATTCTTTTACTTAATTTTTGTGGGTTTTTTTTTTTCATTTAAATAAAGTTCGTTTTTTTTTTTCGAAATGGTGTTACTTTTTATTTGTTTTAATATACTTTCAAAGAAGATACTGTAATGTTGATTAATGTAATTTTTGTCTAGATGTGGTTTTTATTTTTTTTTGTTCTTAAAGGACCTCGTCCCAGAATAAAGTTTATTTTTCATCTATCTAAAATAGTTGCTGTTGGAGACTTTTTCATGAAGAAAGGTACAAATTATTTGGTCTCTGATATGATCGGAATCGGAATTTATTCTGAGTTTTTTTCTTATGGAACTCATTTCCAAGCTACAAAATCATTTATAGTAATCTGTCTCAGATTTTGACAATGGTAAATATTAGAATTCATTGACCATGGTTAATATAAGCTTAGGTACTCGTTCTACGCACAATTTAACGTTCTTTAATTTCTTAAAGAATATGTTTTTTGCTTCGATGCACTGTCCAGTAGTAATAGATGGAAAAAAAAGATCAGATAAATCTGCCTTATTTGGTTGCAAATAGTTTTCTCTTGGTGAACCTTGTTAGCAATTTCGTTTTTTACATGTATAAACCCATATACAGGGTGACTCATAAGTAGAGGGAAATATGTAAAGGGGTGGTAGCGGAACTCAAGAACTACAAAAACCTTTATATAAACAATGGTTAAATTTTCAGCAGGAAAGTAGAAAATTAATGTTTTGTGATTTTTTAATTATGCACGTTTTTGTTGAATAGGAAGGGATAACTAATAAAATATTTAATCTAAGGAATTAATGATTGCTTCACTGTTTACTAGACAAAATTTACTTTAATCAAAAATAGAGTTTGCTTTTGTTAAAATCATTTAAAGAGAGCTTTTGAGAGGCTTAACACAGCTAAGGAGTGGGGGAGATGAGTAGTGGTGGGGAAACTGCACCTGGTATAGAGGTGTTTTATGTAAATAAAAAAATACAACTTTTGGTATTTGATTTTCTTGGATGAGTTTTTTCCCGGCCGTCAACTAAAGCATTCGTAACTCTTCAGGGTTTTCTTCAAATTCAATTTTAATATAACCATTGGAAAGTTGAATTACTGCTCTTCCAACAGACAACAATAAGTTTAATTTTTAATTTTTTTCCAAGTTAAAAATTATGAAAAACTTCTAATCCATTTCTATTTTATATCTTTAGTTTTAATTTGCTTACAAATATCGGATTTGTATCATTTCGTGTAGCATACAGGGGCCTAAATCCCTATTAATTTTTGTGTGGATCAGTGAAACCGTTCTAATGTTATTACAAGTTTTGTAGTTATTGAATTTTAAAGGGTCCATCCAGTCTAGGCGAATATTCCGTGGAAACAATTTTAACTTGTCGATTGCTGTAAAACTTCATATTTAAGGTTTTCTTGAGTTGCGAAAAATGAATATCAACTTTGTTTCTAACTAAAAAAATATTTGCTCCCATATTGCTACCTCAATTGGTCCAAATTGTGCCTTTACTTGTAGCTGTCTGTCACATAAAATATTTATTAAAAAACAGGTCTGGTATCCAGAGTATATATATTTTTAGGGAGAAACAAAGTTGATATTGATTTTTCGCTCATCAAAAAAACACTTAAATACGAATTTTTATAGCAATCAAAAAATTAATATTTTCTTCTTGAAATTTTTGGCTTGAAATTTCGTCAACAACCACAAATCTTGTGATAACATTAGAACGACTTCACTGATCCACACAAAAAATAATAGGTATTTAGGCCTCTGTGTGCTACACGAAATGATATAAACCCGATCTTTGTAAACAAATTAAAACTAAAATTATAAAATAAAAATGTGTTAGATGTTTTTCTTAATTTATAGCTTGAAAAAAAAAAATGAAATCCAAAAGTTATTAGTATCAGTTGGAAAAGCAGTAATTCAGCTTCCCAACGGATATATTAAAGTTTTATTTGAAGAAAATCCTGAAGAGTTATGACTGCTTTAGTTTACGGCCGGAAAAAATTTATTCTAGAAAATCAAGTATTGAAGGTTACATTTTTTTCTTTAAATAACAATTCGTATTTAAAAGTTTTAAAGGGCCCTAAAAAGGAATCTAACTTGCATTTTCATAACAAAAATTTACTTGGTCTACTTTACTGCATTTTGGAATTTTTGATTCATTATAACTCATTTAATATTTTTTCTTATTTTGCAAATAAAAACAAAACCTAAGTTTTGTTTGAAATTACATAATTTTTTCGGCTCCTAGGGCATATTGGAAAGAACGGCGGGACACATGTCTAATATTGTTCGATGAAGTATCACAAAAAAAAAATCTGGCAACATACAACTTTCACTTATCGTTCTACTTTGAATAGAAATTATTTTCTGGCGATGATGGGCTATTATAAAATTTGTGCATTTTAAACCGAGCTAAAGCTTAAAGCTTAGAGATAGCACATCATTAAGACCATTAAAATTACAAAAAGTCTATTTATTACATCGAAGGACGGCAATAAAAATCTAGTTACTCCATCTGCTTTTATAAACCACACAACTTCAGTCTTTGAGCCTTTTAGTTAACAGAATGACTAACTCCAATTTCAACATTTATGAGTAATGTTATTTCAGTGATATTTCTAGTTTAAAAATTTATCTATACAGACAGTGAGTAAGTTGATTAAAGAGTAGGTGATTGCAGTGTTGAAATATAGAAATGTAAATAAAGGCATACATTTTGCCACTAGAAACATCACTAAAATTAATTGGGTTAGTCTTTCTGTCAACCGAAAGGTTTGAAAGTATATCTGAATATTTAACCTATAAATGATTATGGATTGTAGGACTATTAGTTATTAAACTGTTATTTTCCATTTTAAAGTTTACTAAAACGAAATTACGAGATTTTCATTGCCTGCCATGGATAGGTCAAAAGTTGTCACACTAATTGTAAGTGGATAATGTTGGGATTTCACGAAGGGAAAATTCATCAAATTATTAACTAATTTAATTTTCTAAAAGGTTACTTGATGATTTTTTTGGAATACACGGCCGATAGATACCTAATTATTTAAATATAATATCTTATCTAGAGTAAATATATTTGAGGTTATAAACATCCGTGAAATATTTTTATATTTTACTTCTTCTTTCACACAAGTACAATGAAATAGTATTTTAAAAAATGGGATTAGCTTGATTAGTGGATTTTAAATACTTCTTTTCAAACTTAGAAACACATTTAAAAGTTTACATATAGTAAGAAAATTTAATTTAATTACCTGAAATTATTATTTATATTTGTTTCACCACTCTCCGTTACCTTCTACAACTTATTAGATATTGTTTTTTTCTATAATTCTCAGCTTTCCAACAATATATCATACGTATACCTTCTAACTGGTAATTCCGGAGATTCATTTTCGACGTGGATAAGCATTTTTATTTTATTCTCCTTTATTCAATTATCAAATTCTTTCAAAAGTTATATTTAGCATTTTTTTTAGTAACTTTTAACAATGAGAGATAATTGATTATTTAAAATAAACCATATTAAAGGTAGACATATATGAACATTGGGCATTTAAGCCCTGTAAAGTGACATCAACGGGGATTAGACCTAAATGATATTAAATACCATTTAATTATACAGTGATACATCGAATTTAATCAAAATCGTTAAAGCCGTTTTTGAGAAAATTATAAAAATGTGTTTCACCGTTGAAAAAAATAAAATAAAGTGGTATAAAGTGGCACTTCCGGTTAGCCGATTTTAAGGATAAAGTTTCTGCCACATCTAAGGCATATACATATCTTAAATAATTCATTCAATTATCAGTTTCGTACGACTTTTGGTTTTTGATCTAGACTGATCACATACACACAGACAAACATACCATTTTCGGGACTTGGTTATTTGCACTCTGGGGTCCTCAAAACGTAACTTAGATTAAAAAATTGTCACGATCGCAATACTTACCCTTACTATATATTACATATATAGGTCAGTGAAAGTAAAATTTGGTTGAAATCGGTGACCCACAGACTTCTCTTTGTAAGTGAGGAAGTGTAACTCACATTATATTTACTTACAAGGTTATAAAAGTATGTTAATGTTTTTTTTAAACTATGATAAGCGTGCAAGAAGTCATTGTGTGCGTTGTAGTTTCATTTCTTTTTTGTTGTTATGTATTTTAAATTTTATATTGATTAATTGACGAAATAGCATTTTTGCTCAATCTCCACTGGGTTTAACCCCACTGACGCGGTTGAGAGAGAAGTGTGGGGATCTCCTGGAGTCATGCTTTTCCCTCCACAGTTGGAGGGACAAGTCTGGCTCGGAGTTCTCTCGCCTGATTGTAAATAGTGTATATAGGTATGCGTGTGTTCTTTTATATTTATTTACTTTTAGGTTATTTTATTCCTATTTATTGTATACATTATTTTTCTGCTAAATTAATTTTATTTATTGTACATAAAGCGTGAATGTGATCTCTGAACACTATTATAAATTTCTTCTGATTCTCCCCTTGACATTTAAGGAGAAAGCCCTGATGAAGGCCTGAACTTCAGGTCGAAACGTCGGCATATGTAAACAATAAATATTATAATTTATTTTTTGCCTTCCTTTTTTGACTGAGCACCCCAACTATTCTTCTCTTCTTTATTATAAATTTCCTTTGAGACAGATTGTAATATTTTTCAATAAACAAGTTTAAAAAAAAATCGAAAATAGAATACATTTTCATAATTACAAATAACTAAAGGTAAATAATGAAATTGCTATTTTAGTATTTTTTTAATGAATCAGAAACTTAATATTCAATTAACCCAAATTCATTTAAATGTTACTGAATGACTTGTCGCAATGAACCGACGATGTATCATTTATACGATTAATAAATAAGAAATAATAAAGTAATTTTCCACAACACCATTTTCTTCTTTCTTATCTATTCAATAAGTTAGTACTTAATTCTCACTGCTACACATAAACAGCTGTCCATAGTTTATTCTTAACAAGATATTTTTAAAAATAATTTTTTTTTTTTATTGTTTCTTAACGACATTTACTTAATATGTTATTAAAGAAATACATTTAGTAAATTTGAACATATGGGTATAATGACGTGAAAACAATCGTTGAGTAACTACACAATGGCAGCACTCTAATGATATGTCTACATTAGGAGACAACGGGACCATCTTCTTTTCAGACGCCTCGGAGCTAGTGTTGCTCAAAATTGGTCTTGGTCTTGCAGTTTGCAAGACCAAGACCAAGGCCGCATAACTGTTGCAAGACCAAAATTTGGGCAACACTACTCGGAGCGTTATCAGAAATTGAAGAGGAAGCAAGGTTAGAAACGAGAGGGTTGGGATGATTCTGAAGTTTATTATGGAAGGATAGGTATCTAGATTGGGCCAGATCTGAAACATTAAGACCATTATAGATGGTTTTATTTGTAACAAAGTAGGGAGCATTGAGGATTTTACGAAGGATTTTGGATTGTAAGGATTGGTTACGGGAGGAATTCGTTGGTTTAGTGGAACCCCATAGCTCAACTCTTTAAGTCCAAATATGCCATATTATAGTCATGTATATGTATCTTTTGTAATTAATTGGAAGTTTAGAGTGTTTGTCTAGTAAGTGCTGAAGTAATCGGAAACGTCGAGCAGTTTCTTGTCGTTTCAGTCTGGTATGAAAAAAAAAAAATTAAATTATTAGCCTCCTTCAACTCCTGGTTTGTATTAATGTAGCGTAAGGTGGTTGATATATGATATCTATTGGATGGCCTGTTCCAGGAAGGTCTGCAGAACAGGGTGGAGCGGACGAGGAAGTGCTGGCTCCTCCTCAGCGAGCTGGTATCTTCTACTGGTTACTCCATCGGAATGGTGTTGACATCAATTGGTATGACGGCCTTCATGGCCCTCATCATCTGCAGCTACATCTTCTTCACTTCTATCTTAGACCCAGAGGGTCCTATCGAATGGTGGATGGGCTCCATATTGCTCACGAATGGACTGATCTTCTTCTTCATCTTTGACTACGCTCATAAAACTACTAAGGAGGTTTACGTCCTATATATTTTTTCCAACAATAATTAGTAATGCTCTTCCATTATTCAAAAGGCATTAATTCTTATTTTATTTCATCAGTTACTCATTATCATTATCTGTAGATCTAATTCGGAATCACCCATTGTTTTTTTTTTTCCTTTGAGGTTGCCTTTCATTAGTCAATGGGACAGATCCCCTACCGTGTACCCCCTCTTCAACATATCTATAAACTGCATATTGTTATGTTTCTTGTAACTATTTATTAAAAAAAAAAAAAAAAAAAGCCTGCGTTCCTACCGGCCTGAGTGTGAAGGAACCAGGGCAATTACCCCGAGCCGTTGTGGAGGGGCGCCCGACGGGGATGCCGGACGATCTTCAGGGGCCCTCGCCACTTGTAAAATATAAAAAATAAAATACAAAACGTATTAAAATAATTGATTTTGACGTATCAATAAAGTACCTGTATCAGAGAAATTTTGAATGAACCGAAATTCAAATATTACATAAAATAAAACAGCTTAAAAAATAAATTTATTTTTTTTAGTGGGAGGATAGCGTTACTGCGACAAATGATTTGCTGGCGATGTACTTCAGAAATTTGTGATGCAGAATTTCAGGAGTGATTTCGCCCAGCTCTGGTTGACTTGCCAATTCCTTTCTACAATTTTTCCTAGCTGATAACTTCGCCTTCATCAGAATAAACCCCTTAATCTCATCCGAACTGACCCAGCTTTCTTCTAGCAGCTCTTTTAAATACTCTCTTCATCTGTCTACTACATATTCCTTCCACCAAATAATGTTTTCATCATTATCCTTGTTACATTTTCAAAGGTTTTGGTGATTCATTCTCCGTCCCCTTTGTATATGTTTACAATTTTTTGGTCCACTTTCGCGCTTTTCTCCATTTTGAGACCAAATTCCTCCAGGGTTTTTTTGAATACCTTGAAGAACAATTAGCTTCGTTTCTTTCCATCTTTTTTGTTCAAAGAGAATAAAACTTGTATTATAAAAAATATATAATTTTTTATGATATGGCTCAACATTAGAACAAAATAAATGAAATAATAATGAAATGAAATTCTCTAGTCACATCCTTCAGAATGTGAAAAATGAAATTCATTTTTTGATTATTGATATATGATTTTTGTTATACAGTCCGGTAACTATTCATTATATGGCATTAAAATTAAGTATATATTTTCTTTTATAAAAAAAGATAATAATACAACTCATTTCTATAAAGTACATACAATTTAATTAACCTCTAAGAATCAATAATTATAAAAACAATGTTAATTTGACATGCATTACTTAATTTAATTATTTAAAAAATATTGTTTTGGACAATAAATTATTTTGTTAATATTTGTTCGTTAATAAAATCAATAAAGTTGACTGAATTCGTTATTATAACACTATAACTATGGCATTTGTGTGGCCGAATGAGATGGCAGACTGCAGGTGTCCACCCTAGTGCCGCTTTTCCGCTGATTAAGTACATTTTCTGAAGAACCGTTTCAAATATTTTAAAAATTAATCAGTGATTTAGAAAGAGGAGTGTATGCTCTAGATGATTTATCCCAGGAAATTTTTCGCTATTGGTGGCCGGTTAATTACAAACGAGGCAAGATTTTCAACTTCAATTTGAACGACTTGAAAAAATTGGTATTTTTTATTGCCAAGACTAATTATTTTTTTAAAACATTTTAATGTTTTATTATTCTCTGACTATTCAGCTTTTAAAAGAAATGCTAATTATGACGAAATTAAAGCAACTTCTGAATCTTAGTGACCGAAAAATTAACTCAAGTCAAAGTGGTCAATCCGCCAATGTTTGGACGGTATTTTGGAAAAGTGCGACCACTTTTTTTGTGAGAACATTGGTTTTTTTTTTTTTAAATAAATAGTTATAAAGAGCATAACCACATGCAATTTATAGGGATTTTGGGGAAAGGAGGGAAGAGGTACACGGTAGGGAGCAGTAAATAATTACCTTCATCATTTTTTTTTTTTTCAGGTGGGAACAAATTTTTACTCGGTCGTATTTGATCAGAAATTTTCACAGTTGGATGAGGAAAATTTGAATCAAGTATTAAATTCTTTACAATTTATTTGTTTTACATAGATGTATAAGGTAATCGATAAAAATCAATTTATTTATTTTCAGTTGGTTCTTCTCTTAACTACTTTCAGTTTGCATCAACCGACTGTAAAGTTCGCGGGGTTATCGGTTGGCAACAGACAGTTGTTTGTGAGTGTAAGTAACCAAATTTATTTTCTTTAGAATCATTTAGGAACTCTAGTTTTACGATTATATTTTACAAGCTTATATAATATTATTTACAATTATTAATTGACGGTGTAATTCAGTTTTCTTTATATTCATTTTTTATTTTCCTCCTAATGTATTCTGGAAGTAGTATGATACATTTCATATATTTGATTTGATATTATTTAAAAAGATTTAACTCTTGAGTAATACTTATCACCGTTTATGTTCCTTTTAGAAATCAGTTTTTTATTGATTTCAGTTTATTTTATTTTTTAATAAATTCTTTTCTCTAATGTTGGAATACGGTTGTGCCGTTTACCGTAGGATTTCTTTGATGAGTATGGTTTATTTTTAAACTACAATTTTTACAACTCTATATTTAATCAAGTTGTTATTAAGAAGAAGCAAGCAATCAACTATCTTAGGAGGGGTATGAGAAATCTGTTGAGGAAGGTGGAAGGCAGCTCTAATGCACACGGAATGAACGCTATGATAAATGGTATAGCGCAATTTCAATGCATTGCCAGGTTTGATATTTGAAAATCTTTAACATTGAAACAGTATCGTAAAATATTGTGAACAGCATGTGTTGCTTTTACATCCAACTGATGGCGTGTTTTTAATAAATATGTATAATTTGACTTTATATTTTATAATAGTAGATATATTAAACCACGCCCGTATTTAAGCCAAAATTTCAAGGCAATGGGTGAAGAATTTTCTGAGATTTAAGAGTTTAAACAACCAAATATTTACATTTTTATTTTCCATAAAATGATCAACACAAAGTTGGACATTAAACAATACATTAAATATAAAAAATTAAATATGAAAATATATGAGTGGCTTGATATCAAAGGACGGATTTCTGTCATTTTTAGAAAGCAGTCAATTTTAGTTTTATAAGTTCAACTCAGACTGTTTCTGATGATTAAGAATGACGGCGTATTCACTCAGATGATTACGAATATTCAAGTTGAATCATGAAAAAAAAAATCATTATAATTAGTTTTAATTGAAGCCATTTTACAGAAAAATTTGTTTCCCAACTTTTTAAAAATGACAGATTTCCTTTGGTATTAATCCACTCATCTGTGCTTTCTATTTTCTTTCTTTTCCATTTTGCCAGGCTAAACCACACCAGCGCGTGGCCGGGTAAAGCTAGTATTAAACAAAATTAATACCTCCGCCGAAATGTGCCACCTCAAAAATTTTGATGAAAACCCCTTTCGGGCATCCCTGTTTATATAATACGAATAGTAATGATTTTGGAAACGGCTCGTCCGCTTTGACCTGATGTTAAAGGAAATTTGAGAGTTTATTTACAAATAGTGGAGTATTTTATCCATCATCTACGTTGTTTATGCATATATAGCGTATATTTATATCATACGGGTTGAAAATAAAAAAAAGTTCGTGTATATCCTCTATAGTCGAGGTAATAATGATAACACGATATAGTGCACTAAGATAGCAGTTTAATTTTTCACATAATTTCTCATGTAGTTTCTTTAATGTAATTTTGTCATATTATTAATGTTATGTATTTTTTTTTTTTCAGTTGCTTTGCAACACTTTGACATACTTAATAGTATTGGTCCAATTTAAGACTTAAAGGATACGGAAGAACGTTTTAGTTGTCAGTTTCTTAGGGAATGTTATACATTAAAGCATATAATTATATTAATGTATGGAATAAAAACTTTTTAACAAACTGGTTTTATTTTTTTGTTAAATAGCAAAACCCTATTATTATTATAAGAAATAATTAAATGTATCCTGTATATCAATGGTATTTTAACCCATTGATTGGATGTTCCTGGTTGGTATGTCATTATTTGCAGATGCCAGGCTACAGTTAAAAATATAGAATCGATAGAGCAAGAAGGAAACTTCACGGAACAATGAATAATTAATATTTTTGTCACTTCTATTGAATTTTACCCTTGAACCATTTCACTTAAAAGGAGAGTTGGTGCAACTGATACGATGTCCAATTTAATCTTGGAGGTGATAATGTTTGTAAAGTTTTTTATAAAATTACTTAAAATGTTTAAGATGTTATTATTTTTATTTCAGCTAATAGTGTGTATAAAAAAACAATGACAGTTTTATCAAGTTTAAGTTTTCAAAGGACTGTAAATATTTTAATCCTATTTTATACTTAGTAGTCCCTTTAGAGCATTCTCTAAGCTTGTTTAATGCCAATCGACTTCTTTAAAAAAAAGTCTCAGTTTATTTATTTGTTTCAAAGAAGAAACATGACAGTGTCTTACGAAATTCTCGTAACTTTAAGGCATTAATGGTAAACAAAATTCACAGCCGCTGAAGCAGCTAGTGAAATTATTAAATATGAAGCGGAAAGTGTCCTTGACCAGCGCACTGAGCGGCGTTGGTTTGATCAATTTAGCAGTGGAGATACGACATTGGAAAGGAAGATGGGCTACAGGCGACCATTAATGGATATTTATGAGGTTCTGCAGGAAGCTGTTGAATCAAACCCGTCCACAAGTATTCGCAAACTTGCCAGGGAGCGTGGTGTGTAGAAAGATACTGTTAGTCACCATCTACTATCCATGTCCTCATGGAAAAAGAGCAGTGGACGGGTCCCTTTGTGAAAAAGAGCAGTAGACTGTATCTTCACGAGCTTACTCCTCAGGAATCAGCTAAAAGATTATAAATTTGTGAAAATTGATAGAAAAATTCTTGACTGAAAAACTGCAGCCTCCTCCACCATATAGTTCATACCTCGTAACATCGAAGTACTACTTATTTAGACGCGTAGCCCATTTTCATCAAGGGAAAAAATTGATATTTTTTTTTAATTGATAAATTGCGGTCCAACAGTTCCTTGACAGTCATTCCAAAGAATGGTATCAGCGTGGTATCGAACAATTGGCTAGTAGGTGGCTAATGAGGGTAGATAACTTGGACTATGATGGACTATAATTTGAGTATTAATTGTATTTTATATCAAAGAAATAATAATACAAATATTTGGTTGAAAAACGGTTATTTTTTTTATACAATCTAAAAGATCACATTGAATCATCACACATATTGATAATTTACGAGATCAACAGTCATCTTCCCTTTCTTAGGATTATCTTTAAAACGTTTTAGTCAGTTTTCTGTCCTTATGTATTAATGCCGTTCAACTTCTGTAACGTAGCTTCTCTTATTCCCCTTCTTCAGGATTTTGCCTCCTGTCCAAAAATCTTCTCTAAAGAAAGTTTCTTAATCCACACATTTGTTCCAAGTATCAGAGCAGATAGTTTGAGCTCCATGGTCGTCAGTCTTGTTAGTCTGTTTTCCTCTGGTTCCATTTTTACTTTCACTTACGTATATATGTAATATATAGTAAGGGTAAATATTATGATCGTGAAAATTTTCGAATCTCAGTTTTCAATGGAAATACATGTTTTAAAGCCCCCTGAGTCCAAATAACCAAGTGTAGCAAAATGGTCTGTGTGTGTGTGTGTGTGTTAACAGTCTAGCTCATAAACGAAAAGTAATACGAAACTGATATTAAGTATTTAGGGTTTGTATATGAGCCGGATGTGACAGTAACTTTTTCGTTAAAATCGGCTAACCGGCACTGCCACTTTATATCAACGCTGAAACACATTTTTACAATTTTCTCAAAAACGGCTCCAACGATTTTGATTAAACTCGGTGTATCATTGTATAATTAAGTGATCTTTAATATCATTTAGTTCTTATTCCCGTTGATGTCACTTTACAGGGCTTAAATGCCCAATGTTCATATATGTCTTCCTCTAAAGTACCTTTAATATGGTTTATTTAAAAAAGTTAATCATTTCGCATTATTCAGAGTTACTAAAAAATGCTACATATAACTTTTGAAAGAATTTGATAGGTTAATTAAGGAGAAAAAAATAAAAATGCAGAAAAACCTGCGTTGCTATAGACTGTAACGCCTAAACGAATGTACCAATTTCAATGAAACTTCGCTAAAGTCATTTTCTCGACACCCTTTAAATTTATCTATATAACATACTTCAACGAAAAGAAGCTGGAAAAAAAGTTACGAGGGATGGTAAAATTAAATTCCGAATAACTCAAAAAGTATACAATTTTTTGGGGATATTGTGTGGTTTTTAAAAGTTTATGGAATTTCCTAAAAAAAAAAAAAAAAAAAATGCGTTAATATCGGACAATTAGGGAGAAAGATATGGTCTCTAGTTTTTTCCACTGAAAAGGCGAAAATTTGTATAAATTTAAAGTATACTTTTTTAATTGTTGAGACTAAAAAAACTTTTTTTCCTACAGATATTTAATAAAGTATCTTACCTCAGAACATCTTTCATAAGAAATAAGTACCTAAATTTATACCTTTATTGTCAGTTCTATATTTTAACATTTCAATCACCAATTCCGGAATCAACTTACTCACTGTCTGCATAGATAACTTTTTCAACTAAAAATATCATTAAATTGATATTACTCAAAAATTTTGAAATTGGAGTTAGTCATTCTGTGGTATATAAAACCAAAGAAAGTTGGGTGGTTTATAAAAGTAGATGGACTAACTAGATTTTTATTGCCGACCGTCGATATATCAAATAAACATTTTGTAATTATAGTGATCTTAATGACACGTCTGTAAGCTTTAAGCTTTAGTTCCGTTTATAATGCACTTCAAAAAATTTTATAATAGCCCAGCATTGCCAGAAAATAATTTCTATTCAACGTAGAGCGGTAAGTGAAAGTTGTGTGTTGCGCGCACCAGTTTTTTTTTTTACTCTTTGAGACTAACGCCGGCCTTAGACATTCGGCGCCCACCTCCGGGCAATGACGCCATCTCCAAAACAGTTATTTTCAAAAGTCGACGGATTCAGACGCGATTTTTCACATCTGAAGAAGATAATCTTCATATAGTCCGTGGTAAAGACTCCTTTTCATCAACTTATTAACATCCATCTGAATCTTCGTAAATAGCTTAATTTCCTCTAACCTTCAAATATTTTATTTACGAACTTTATCTATTTAATTAGTTACTGAAAACTCGTAAATACCCATTTGCTTTCCACTTGAATCGTAAGATAATTTTAGCATAAAATCGAGAAAAAAAGTTGACTTAAAAAATATTGGGCCGTTTGGGGTGAACAACTACTCCAACATATCAAAATAACCAGGTTATAACGGCACAATACTTTTGTAGGCCACCTTTTTTCTCGATTTTGCGATCAAATTATATTACGATCCAAGTGGAAAACATATTTGTATTTACGAGTTTTTAGGACTATTAATATTACATTAATATACCATAGGACCGTAGTACCTAATTAATTAGAGAAAGTTTGCCGATCTCCAAATTGAGAACGCCCAAGAGTTTTTGTAAAAAAAATAGTTGTAAGTTACGATGGTATGAAGCTATTCTTGAACTTTGAACCGAGCAATTGCTGCGATTAAACATGCTAACTAGTTGAATTAAAAACACTTTGTAGGCAGAAATATCCTCCACAAAACTATCTGATCTTGATACTCAATATCAACAAGGGGCTTTTTATAGAAACATTCAAACAACAGACTCCATAATTTTCCTTGAAGCCAAGATTGCCTGCTCCGTTTTAAAAATTGAAAAAAAATCGATACCACTGTTGTCCCCATGACCTGATTAGAGTTAAGGTGTGTAATCATATTCTTCATAATTCTCAAATGAATTAACTTCAATGTATTCCGCTGTAATGTATATATATATATATATATACATATATTGATATGTTTGGTAAAATGGTATACGATTTTTCAGAATGCTATCCTGAACTCACTTCCAATCATCAAATTTTTTACGGAAAATTTTCCCTCAATGGAGAGGAGAGTTAGCTGATGATTACAAAGAGGTTAACTATCAGCTATAGCGGGGAAAACAGGAGGAGGCTGCTGGTGACGTCTTGTTATTTTCTCCAAAGTAATTACCAGGTGGCAACACCTGATCAATAAACACGCACTCTCCTTTATTTACCGATACTATACCCAGCTATTTTACTATTATATAAACCCTTACAAGCCTCAAAGTTGATATTTATAATAACTTTATACTAATATTAAAAAAAAAAAAAAGGCCATTCTAAGGTTGAAAAGTAATATTTGAACAAGATAATAAAAAAAAAAACAAAAAAACGAACCTGCAGAAGTAAAACTAAGGAATTTTAAAGCAATGTATATTTTAATCAATATGTATGTTTTCAACGAGCTTTAAATTTTACTAGAACGATCACGAAAGCTGTTAAAATCATGGAGTGGGAGGAGATGAGAGAACTTTTTACTTTCACTTACCTATATATGAAATATGCAGTAAAGTATTGCGATCATGAAAATTTTCGAATCGTAGTTTTCAATGGAAATACACGTTTCGAGGCCTCCTGAGTCCAAACAACGAAGTTTCACAAAATAGTCTGTGTGTATGTTAACAGTCTAGCTCAAAAACGAAAAGTCGAACGAAAGTTAAATTGCATATTTAAGGTTTGCATATACCTAAGAGGTTACAGCAACTTCAAAATCGGCTAACCGAAAATGGCTCTTTATAACACCGATTAAACACATTTTTACGATTTTCTTGAAAACAGCTCCAGCGATTTTGATTAAATTCAAAATATCAGATTAAAGTTAAGCAGTTTTTAATATAATGTAGGTTTTATTCTTATTGATGTTCATTAACACGGCTTAAATGGCTAATTTTCAATA